TATTGGTAATAGATTCTACCAACATGGGCGTCCAGGTACAAAGAGCGGGGCTGCTTCAAGAACAACCCATCATGGATGAATGAATGCAAATATGTTAATTAACAACCCAACAATAATTCAATCCTCCAACGTTAACCACCAATCACAACCAAATTGACGAATACATAAAATATTAAATTTAATGAATTATTCCATCAAACATATTGTGAGTGTGTATTATAAAAAGTATGTGTAAAATTATGCCAATAAAGGGATCATCCTCAATACAAACAACTTAACGTGAAAATTATTTCGAGAAAAATCATGGAAATCGATCCTCATTCACTTTACTTAATCCATTATTCTGAAAATCAATTGCAAGGAGAAAAATCTTATATCTTAACCAATACACCCACGGTTAGATGTTTTATTCATTTAATCAATCATCCGGATACATCTACCAAAGTCTTGAGAACTAATTTCACTTGGATGCAATCATCGCACAATTCGTCCACAATTATCAGTGTGTGCACAACCAAAGTGGAATTTTTTAGTTCACCACTAGAGCTTCATTTTCAACGTGTGAAGTTGAATTTGAAGGATCAAATATGATTGATCTTTGAATCTTAGGGATCTAAGACTATTCTTGGCTCTCGAAAGATGAAAGAGGCATATTCTAAGAATATGAGAGAGTTCTACTAGGTTTGAGAGACTTGCTCTATTTATAGGCCGGAAAAATGAGTAGTCTTAGAGTTCAAGAAAATTAAATTTTGCGAGAGATCACTCAAGTCTTCAAAAAACGGCCAAAGGACAGACACCACAGGAATAAAGAAATGAATCAAACTAGTTTAGTTGAACAAAGACCGCTCAAGCCTTCTACAAGCGGCTCGGCGAAACCGTCTCCACTGTCAACTTCTTTAGGCTCATCTGATTTTTTTTTAAGTGTTCAAAGACTACTCTAATCAAAAACAAACGAGCATAGGATAGTCCCTACTAGTTTTTAAGCTGAAAACCAAACAAAATACTTGCTCTATTAAGCATTAAGGAGTATTGTTCAATAATGATCAGATACATGACTCTGTCAAATAAGAACACAGTTAAATAAGTATAGTGAACTTCGCTATTTTATTTGGACAAATTGTTAGCTTTCACATAGTAGTTATCAAGTTGTGTGGAATTCACTTCCTCATTGTGGTTTTTCCATTAGATGGTGATATCTGTTGATGAGTATCACCGTTATATTGGATAACTAGTTATTGCACGTGCCTAAAAACTACTATAGGAAAAAATTGAATTTTTATTTTTGATTTTATTTCAATAAATAATATAATAGAACATGAATTTTGGTTGTAAAATTTAAAATATTTTATATTTTATATTTGATTGGAGTATTTTTAATCTAAGTATAATATTTTTAACTTAAAGGGTTTAAATATTATATATCAACAAACTTTTGGAGAGTCTAAGTATAATTTATTAACGGATATATTTACAACGGGAGTTTAAGTGTTACGTGCGTATAAACTTTAGGGGGTTTGTGTGTAATATTTTAAATGTTAGGAGGTCTGAGTGTAATTCTCCCCAGGAAAATTTTAACCACACCCCCTCTAGTTTCTAAATCTTCAATGACATCCCTTCTAGTTTAAATTAAATGTCACTAACATCCCCTACCATTAAACTACCATTTCTAACAAAAAAAATTCATCTAAAATACCAAAAATGCCCCTACATAACCTCAAGTATTTTTTCTACATAAAATTTAATTAAAATTCGAGCTGTTAAAATTTTAAAAAAAAATCGTAAATAACAATTTTAGTAAATACTAATTTGCTATTTACTAATTTGTAAATTTTAAAAAAATTCAAGCCTATTAAAATTTATTTTGTACATATTAAAATTTGAGCCGATTTGAACTCTACCCGAGTTGTTAGCATCGATTAAAATTTATATTTTTTTACTTATTAAAATTCGTGTCAATTAAAATTTGATTTATTAAAATTTAAGTCAATTAAAATTCATATATTTTTATATATTAAAATTTGGCTAATTAAAATTCAATGCGAATTGATTAAAAATTGATTTGAAGCAATTAAAAAAAAAATTAATAGGGTCAAACAAAATTTTGATTAGCCCAAATTTTAATACGTAAAAAAAATATAATTTTTAATTGGCACAAATTTTAATATGTAAAAAAATAAATTTTAATTAGCTTGAATCGAATTTTAATCGGTTCGAATTTAATTACATAAAAAAAATTAGAAAACAAAGGAAGTCTTATTGAAAATATACTTATCTAAAGGGGTCTTATTGAAAATATGTTTATCTAAAGGGGGTGTGGATGAAATTTGTCCTCAAATATATCATGGGCAATTTAGTAAAATTATATTCTACTTAATATTTTTAATTTGACATGGGGTGTCATTGAAGATTCAAAAACTAAAGGGGATGTCCTTCAAGATATGGTAAAGTATAGGGGGTGTGGTTAAAAATTTTTCATAATTTTATGAAACTATGCTATTAATAAATAAATTCAAAATAATTTAGAAGTGCTTGTAAAAGAGATCAAAATAAGTTAAAAGTCAAATATGTGTAACAAATATAAATTAGATGAAAGTATATATTTTGGTATAATTAACTTTATTATAATAATTGAGGATAAGATAGAAAATCAAAAAAAAGAAAAAAAATCACTGACATTTATAAATAATATAAATAATTAATACTTTTGGGGGTAAGTTGACATTTTTCAAGAATAAGGTTAACACCTTTTGGTGTAAGTTTAACACTTTTTAGAAGTAATATTAACAATTTTGGGGGGTAAGTTAATTAATACTTTTTAGAGTAAGGATAATATTTTTTGGATAACTTTATCCCAAAAAATGATAACCTTACTCCCACAAAATGGTAATCTAACCCAAAGGTAGTAGAAACTTTCCACCCAAAAGGTGGTAAACTTATGTCTAATTTCTCCTAAATCAGTGGTCCTAATTTCCCCTAAAATAGTGGTAAACTTATCCAAAAAATACTAACCTCACTCAAAAAAATGCTAACCTCTCGTAATTTTTTTAACCTCACCCAAACAATAGTGTATTATGTTAACGTCACTCAATAACCCCAATATTGTAAGTTTTTCCTTATATTTGTATGTATTTCATTCATATCCACTGTTTTAAATAAGAGACATATAATTATCATTTTAAAATTAATTTTAATTTTTATTATCAGTTCTTATTCTTTAATATATTATATACTGGTTTCACCGTTATGAATTTTTGACTTCTTTTTATGTGCATGTGGCAAGCAGAGAAATACTTCACGTTTTTTTGCATGATACAAAAAAAGTAAACGGCACCAATTTCCCTTACAAACATGTCTTGTCCTCTTGGATGCCACAATCAAATCTATTAGGTTACGAAAAATGATTTGCTTCCTAATTTTGTATCTTAAATTTGCTTCTCAAATCAACGAGGAACAAACATCAATTTTAAAATTTATTGACCACAATTGTCAAAATAATTAATTAATTAATTAATTAATTTGTCAATTAAGCAATTTGAACCATTTTTTCCTTCAAGAGCAACACATCATGAATTAATGAATGCAAGATATGTTAATTAACAACCCAACAATAATCCAATCCTCCAACCTGATCCCTTCATTAAGTCAACCACCAATCACTACCAAATTGACGAATATATAAGATACTGAAATTAATGAATTATTCCATCAAACATATTGGGAGTGTGTATTAGTAAAAGAGTGTGTGTGTGTGTGTGTGTGTGTAAAATTATGGCAATAAAGGGATCATCCACAACACAAATAATTTAATGTGAAAACCATTTCAGGAAAAATCACGACACCAATCGTCGTTCATTTAACTTAATCCACTATTCTGAAAATCAATTGCAAGGATAAAAGTCTTTTATCTTAACCAATCCACTCATGGTTAAATGTTTTATTCATTTAATCCATCATCTGGATACATCTACCGAAGTCTTAGGAACTAACTTCACTTGGACGCAATCACCGCACAATTCGTCTAAGACTACTATTGGCTAAGATTATCGGTGTACCTCCTAAGATTATCTAAGTTTAAGATTATTCTTGTCTAAGTCTAAGTCAATCTTCAAGTGTGCCTCCTAAGATTATCGGTATGCGCACAACCAATGTGGATTTTGTTAGTTCACCACAAGAGTTTCATTTTCAATGTGTGAAGTTAAATTTGAAGGATCAAATATGATTGATCTTTGAATCTTAGGGATCTAAAATTATTCTCAACTCTCGGAAGATGAAAGAGGCATATTCTAAGAATATAAGAGGGGTCTCCTAGTTTTGAAAGACTTGCTCTATTTATAGGCCCAAAAGAAGAGTAGGTACATTGATAAATAAGGATCCCAAACATTTAGGTACATTGATCAATAAAGATCCGATACATGACTGTGTTTGATAAGAATACAATTAAATGAATACAGTGAACTCCACTATTCTATGGACTAATTATTAGCTTCCACATAGTAGTTATAAGTTGTGTGCAATTCACTTCCTCATTGTGATTTTTCTATTCGATGGTTACATCTGGTGATGAGTATCACGGTTTGAAAATTAAAATTCGCAAGAGATCACTCGAGTCATCAAAAATGGGTCACAAGACAAACACCGCTAAAATAAAAAAATGAATCAAACCAGTTGAGTTGAACAGAGACCATTCAAGCCTTTTGCAACCGGCTCGAGTGGCCAAGCGAACCGTCAACTTCTTTAAGGTTCATTCGATTTTTTCTTTTAAGTGTTTAAAAAATACTCTATTCAAAGATAAATGAGCAGAGGGTAGTCCACCGAGACATGACTCTGTCTAATAAAAACACAATTAAATGAGTATAGTTAACTCCAATATTTTATATGAATTAATTCTTAGTTTTTACATGGTAGTTATTAAGTTATGTACAATTTACTTCTTTATTGTAATTTTTTTATTAGACGATGATATCTGATGTGAGTATCAGGATACTCTTTCTCAACACCCCTCCCAAAAAAAAGTAATAGCCCGCCTTATAAATTGTCCCAGTGAGATATTCAAATGGAGAGAGTCGGTCTCGAGGTCTAGTTACCGTTGGCGACAGTCGGACAGAGATCGAAAATGCCGAAGAACAATGATATCATCAAATCGAAATCGAAATCAAAGTCGACGAGGAAGCCACTCAGAGACGTCTCGAATGGAGTCAAATCTACGAAGAAGAAACCCCCTGAAGCCGAAGATCGAGTCGGAGACGATGCACTCGATCGCCTCCTTCTTGTTCACTCCGATCTCTCCTCTCTCCTTCATCAGGTGATCACTAAAGAGAGAATTTCGATGAATTTGTTTAAGTTGCCTGAATAACACTGAATGTCTGTAATTTGATTACGAATTTGGTTTCGGGTCAAGGTAATGCTGTGGGAAATCTTAACCCTACCTAGGTTGTTTGCCGTCTTGTTGGTACTGTTTAGGGTTTGTTTTTCTACGAAATTCTAAAGAAAACAAATATTTTTCTAGATTTATTTTGGAATTTCTTGGCTGCTTTACGGTTGCTTGTTATAGAGTAATGTTAAGTTTTTTTTTTCTTTCAGAAATACTCTGATTTTTTAAATCATCTAAATTTAAATTGCACGAGTTCAGTGTTCATATGTTTTCAAGCAATGAAAATTGTTATTCTATGTTTGCATGATTTCAGATAAATAGTACGACTTCAATTGAATATTGATTTGGTTTCCGAAATTGTATGTTTGAATTAAATTAATATCATGGATTTGCTGTCTTAACTATGAAACAGTCTATGGATTTTGCATTATAGTTGCTTTAACCCTGGATGTAAGCACAATAGTATGGCATGGCATCTGTCTTGCGCTAATTTCTTGTCCTAATTTTTGAGTTGATGGCCAGTGACAGTTTTCCGAATTGTTTGAATATGTATGCTTTCCTTTTGTCTGTTTTACTGCTTGCCCATATTATTATTAATGCTTGTATTGTTTGGAATTAAAACATAAAGAGGAAATGGTGATATCCCACTAGATGGCTAAATCATTGGGATGGTTGCAATTCTATAGTGACTTGCCTGGGTTATCAATCGAAAGTCATGAATTGTAACCTGAGCTTTTTGTGGTGGCCCATAGGGTTTTGGTTCACACGACCTGTTATGTCAAATGCTTGTTAAAAATCGTTTTTATAGCTAATCGTGTTGCGGATTTTGGTTTATTATTAGGAATTTTAGGTGTTTACTATATAATGGGCAATTTTGATTTTGGGGATTCATTCGAAATATTTAATAACTTGATTTGTAATAATGGAACAATCAAAGTATGACTAGGATTAGGATACGACATGTATTAAGATAAGATGCATAGTGTTATATGCTCGTTTGGCCAAAGTGAGATATTCAGTAGGTAGTGAGTGTGAAATAGATGACACATTCATGTAATTATGTCCCAGTCCATCACAGGAAGAAAAGGGAAGCGAAGCTCTACCCATGTTCACATCCAGCCGAAGTCTTACAAATTAGTGGTGGAGAAGAAGAATACACCTTCAGGTTCCTTCTTACTAAGAGATCCTTCAAATTATCTTCAAGTTGATCAATACAAAGAACAATGTGAAGATACATCAAAACCATCACCAAATCGAAGATAAAAAAATCACGCTAACACAACCCTCGTAATCAACCAAAAATCAAAGGATTGTGCATGTGGAGCCACACCAACGGGAGTCGACACAAATTTTGTTATCCAAGTCAAAGCATCAAAAAATTGTAATTTGACAATCTTTTGTGTTATTTCATACACAAAATTTGTTGCATGTGTGAGAATCCCATATCAGTTAGAAAAAGAAGTAAAAGTGTCGTAATATACTGTGGATGAACTCATTACCTATAGGCTTAAACTTTCAGTTGGGTATGAGTTCCATACATATAGATTGGGCTCNAATATACTGTGGATGAACTCATTACCTATAGGCTTAAACTTTCAGTTGAGTATGAGTTCCATACATATATATTGGGCTCTGGATCACTAGACTTTCAATGTCCCAACAATTAGTATTAGAGCAGATGGTTGACGATTCTGAGTGAACTCTTGAAAAACGGTGTAGCGTGCCGATATTACCAACGGCATTTAAGAAAGGTGATAAGACTTTTGATAATGAAGTTATAAAAACGCACTTGGGGAAAAGGGCAGGGTGCAAGGGCTCTGGATAGAGTGGAAATGTGATGGCGCATAAAGAGTTGTAAAAAGTTTGATTCTTGGAATTGCGGACTCTTGTAAAGAGTGGTTGGATGTGGTAATCGCACATCAAATACAAAAAAAAAAAGTAAAAGTGTCATACTATATTGTGGATTACTTAAGCTTTTAAGTGGGTATGAGTTTCATACATGCATATTGAGCCTTGGATCACTGGGCTCCCTTGCCTCCAACACACACTAGATAGCTAAATCATTGGGATGGTTGCCAGATTTACACTGCCTTGCCTGGGCTATCAATTTAAAAGTCGTGAATTGAAACTTGAGCTTTTCCTGGTGGCTCATAGGGTTTTGGTTCACACGACCAGTTGTGGCAAATGCTTGTTAAAAAGCCTTTTGTAACTGATTGTGCGGGGGATTTTGGTTTATTATTAGGATTTTTAGGTTTTTATTGGATAACGGATAAGTTTAATTTTAGGGATTCGTTCGAAATGTTCAATAACTTGATTTGTAATAATGAAAAAATAAAAGTATGACTAGTATTAGGATACGACATGCATTAAGAATTTAAGATGCATAGTGCTATATGATCGTATGGCTCAAAGTGAGATACTCTGCAGCTAGTCAGTGTGAAATAGATGACAAATGCATGTTATTTCTGAGGTCTAACAAAATCCCGAAGAAGGTGGAGATGCCATCCTGGTGACCTCGAGATAAGTTGAGCCTTTACTTAGGGAAAGAAAGGCATTTTTATATATATATATATATGGATATTTGGCACACTAGAATGCTGATTATTAGCTGACGTTGTGGAAGCGTCTACAGCAGTGAACAATTCAGTTGCTAAATGTGCTGCTTTGCTCCAACAAGAAGTATGTAACTAAACATTAAAATTTTCACACTATAACTGTTGTCTGAGTTGAATGAGCTTTGAAATATATCATATATCATTAATCAGTGATGTCAGTAGTTTTTTTATACTTCGTTTAGTTGAAGATTTTTCGTCAATCCCTGGTTCCTTTGCAGCTATTTACTTGAATTTTGTGGCAAAACCATGTCTGAATGTATCTAGTTGCAGATTGATGAACTTGTTGTGCAAGCCCTTAAATTTGAAGTGACAAACAAGAGGGGGAGAGAAGAAATTGAATCTTTTGCTCACCTCTTGTCTGATATGCACACTTCCTTAGAGGTTTGAACCCTATATCTCTGATATTATACTGTACTTGTGCTGTTTTGTTGCACAACTTATAATTGTATATTGTTCCCATAATGCAGCCATGGGTTCNTTAGAGGTTTGAACCCTATATCTCTGATATTATACTGTACTTGTGCTGTTTTGTTGCACAACTTATAATTGTATATTGTTCCCATAATGCAGCCATGGGTTCCTAGATTTCAGAAAGCACTTGCCTGTCCATCCACAGGGTCCGAGAATCAGTCGGAACATTCTTTGGCGGGTAAAAAAACACTGCCCGCTGCAGATGATGATAAAAGCAATGTTGTTGATAGCCCATATCAAACCAAGTTGGACTCATTAGTCTCTCCATCTCCTCTTGTGTCCTGGCGTGCTGACTGCACTACAGAGAGTGGTAGACAACTGTTCCTGCTCACACCTCTGCCCCGAGCAAAAGCAAGTTCATTCAAATTTCAGGGACCCTCAAAATCAGTGTTTGAAAATATTACATCCGATAATACTGTTGGGCTACCATCTCTTCTTGCTTTATCTGGACATACAGATGATGATTTGCTAGAAAGTGTAGTGATAAAGCTAACTCCAAGTAAAGTGCCTGATTCTGTTGTGACCAAAAATGAAACTGCTATGCAGAGTGGGTTTGTTTCTCCGGCCAAGTTTTCTCAAAGGGATTGCTCTATGTTTGTTATGACTCCACGCCTGAAAATGTCGCCACCCAAGTCCTGTGTATTGCTTGAACCCATTTCAGAGATCTCTCACAAGGATGTTCATGGGGTCCATAAATCAACCCCATTTCCTGTTGGAGTTCAAAATTTAAGTGGATCTCGAGATTCTGAATCTTCCAGCAATCAAGTTTCAGAGCATCTGGTCTTGAAGTATCCGGAGCTATTTGGAATAAAAGCAGCTAATAAGTTGGCAAACAGAAGGACAGTGGTAGAAGAATCACCAAATTGGTTTATGTCACCTCCTAAAACTTGCATTTTAATGGAGCCTCCTGATGAAAATTTGTTGACCAACGCTGCTACCAAATGCCAGGTGCCAAGAACTGCTTTCGTCATTAATCAGAGAACATACTTACCCTCAATGAAGGAAAAAAATAATCAAGACAGTCAATTGCCAACCAAGAAATCTTGTATGCAAGGTACTATGTGTTCTTTTTATGTATTTATCATGTTGAATTTAATCCCCTGAAATTAGACATTGTGTATATCTTTAATTTAACCTGACCTGAAACTAACCATTGTTTTTTATACCTATTTTAATAGCTGGAGGTGGCTCAAAAATCATCGAAAGCACTCCCGTGTGGAAGGAGCCTGAAAGCATAGTTCGAGCTGGAAAGCGGCCAGGTGAGAACACCTNGCAATAGCTGGAGGTGGCTCAAAAATCATCGAAAGCACTCCCATGTGGAAGGAGCCTGAAAGCATAGTTCGAGCTGGAAAGCGGCCAGGTGAGAACACCTTAAAGAAGGAGTTGTGGACAAAGTTTGAAGCAGCATCAACTCATGCCATTCGCTTCAATGTCTCTGTTCTTGAGGAGACTTCTCACAGAGGATTTCTTGATCTGTTGGATGAGGCTTGTTGCGAAGAAAGAAGTCAAGGCCCTGAGGGTTTAAGATAATAAATCTCATTTTTCATGTTACGAGATTTTGAAACTGTAGGTGGTGTATGGCTGGTGGTGTTAAGAAGCTCTGGAATGGTTGTATGTATGTATGTATCCTTCTTATGAGATCATCTAAAAGAATTTTGTTTCGTGGACTATGAATGTTTTAAACCAAATAAGAGAAACCCTGTTCCTCTCACCAACCCACTCGGGTCGGCCTCCCTCTCTTTGCCTGGGCTAGCTAGTAGCTATATGCAAGAATTACATGCCAATTTTTTTTGTTCATGCGTAAGATGTGTAACATATTCAACCTTCGTGGCAGGGAATTCAAGATTTTATAAGTTTGTATAAGGGCATGCAAGGAATTCAAGAATTTTCTGATTAGATCAGGGCAGGATTTGAACAAATTCAACATGAATTGTAACCCGATATCAGTCCGAATTATATAACCCAAACCTGACCCGAATTCTAATTTGAAATATGCTTGAATTACGTAAATCAAATTCANAGGAATTCAAGATTTTATAAGTTTGTATAAGGGCATGCAAGGAATTCAAGATTTTTCTGATTAGATCAGGGCAGGATTTGAACAAATTCAACATGAATTGTAACCCGATATCAGTCCGAATTATATAACCCAAACCTGACCCGAATTCTAATTTGAAATATGCTTGAATTACGTAAATCAAATTCATCACAAACACATAGTATTCACCTAAAATAAAAACTAATAACTTCAATCAAATATTTAATATAAAAACATAATGGTCAAATGTTTAACATAAAATTGAACTAAAAGATTGATCCCTAGTGTTATAATTTGTAAGTTATATTGTTATATTGATTTATATATATTTATTTTTTTAAAATATTTTTGGATTGAAGCTGATTTATAATTCGGGTTGAGTCCAATTTATATATTCGTGTTGAATCCGATTTAAAAATTTAGGTTGAGCCCAATTTATATATNGAAGATTGATCCCTAGTGTTATAATTTGTAAGTTATATTGTTATATTGATTTATATATTTATTTTTAAATATTTTTGGATTGAACCTGATTTATAATTCGGGTTGAGTCCAATTTTATATATTCGTGTTGAATCCGATTTAAAAATTTAGGTTGAGCCCAATTTATATATTCGAGTTGAATTCTTAAAGTATTGATTGTGTTTTCATAAGTGACTTCCATCCAAATTCATCACAAACACTAAATGGTCGGTCAAATTCAGAGGGACATTTTCGTTAGACTTAATCATTGACTTCACTTTTCATTCATCTGTAACTTGAGCAAGACAACTCGAATTCAACTCAAATCTAACCTGAGAATAGAGTTCAGGTTGAGGTTAATACTTTGGGTTGGGTTTGGGCTGAAAAACACCAATCCAAATTAATTCGGGTTGAATACCTCAAATTAATGTTGAGATTGAAAATTATATACTTAAAATTAGATTAGAATTGACCTCTCAACCTGTTTGAGTTGCGCCCCCTACCTACAACTGTTGCCCATATCCAAAACACAGAAAAAACTGCTCAAAGATTGGGACTAGGCAAGACCAAAAAAAATAACTATATGCAACAACTTTTTCATTGTGCACACACAAATCCCACTAAAATGAGTTTTGCAAATATAAGACCATATTTCGACAGTTAAATTAGTATTTTAATAAGAAAAATTATCTCTTGACCTACACTTCCGGATTGCCATTGTGGCATCTCTAACTTGATCACCCTCAAAGGTCTGGTTCGTTTGCTTCTGATGATGTATGCTTCCCTCACCAAGACTTTTTTTGTTTTGAATGAATTAAGGATTTTTTTTACTAGGTCGATATAAGTTAATAGTAATGGTCAATGATATAACTATGATTAGAGTGATAGGTGAAGGCAATGGTTGAGTTAGATGAAAATNGTCGTTTGCTTCTGATGATGTATGCTTCCCTCACCAAGACCTTTTTTGTTTTGAATGGATTAAGGATTTTTTTTACTAGGTAGATATAAGTTAATAGTAATGGTTAATGATATAACTATGATTAGAGTGATAGGTGAAGGCAATGGTTGAGTTAGATGAAAATACTACTCTGAATTTGATTGACCGTTTGGTGTTTTGTGATGAATTTGGACAAAAATCTCTCGTAGAAACATAATTAATACTTTACGGATTAAATTATGCAAATCAAAACTCCAAGGACCAAATCGAAGCTGCATCAATACATTAAGGGTATAATTTGCAATTTACCCTCACTTATTTCCCAATTGCCTGATGCAAGATCTTCAAACTTATTATGTGATATTTTTTTCCCCCCTATTTTCATGGCCTTTCTAAATTAATAGTTTGCATGGTTTCATTGTAATTTACAATGCTTTAGGCTTGAAATTATAAATAATTAAAGGTTATTTACTTAAAAGAATTTATAAAATTTAGATGGAAAAAGACAACAAAAAGAGGTGTATTGTTAAAAACAAAATATTGTATCTTAAAAAGAAGAAGAAAAAACAAACTGTATATTATTTTTGGGACTAATTTGTTATAACGTAACACAAAAATATAACTCAAATATTAATATCAAAATAAATCATTTATGGGTTGTTGCGTTTCTACTTTCTCCATTAATCGTGAATAACAAAATTCACTAAATGAGATAATATCGGGAGCTAATGTTTACTCTAATATTGGCATTGAACATTGGATACACATCATCTTGGACATTTGTCTACATCTCATTGGCTCCCATAACATCAAAGAAGTGTTAATGTTTAAAGATTTTTAAGGAGTAACATAAAACTTTGAATTTTTAAGGATTAACATAAAACTTAGAATTTTTAAGGGGCCATAGTCAAAATTTGAATTGTTTTGGGGCAAATAAGAGTAAACACAACTTTCGCGGTTCTCCTTGTTTTTGCTTGCGTACAGCCACAACCGAGTCCACATCGTCAGAAACTTAGAAAAGCCAAAACCCTCGCCGGTCGCCACCGATAAACCCCAGTCTCTGTGTCTGTCGGGTTCGCGCGCAAAAACAATGGCTGCTTCAGCTGAATATGTGAAGCACATCGAGTCGTATGTTGACTCGTCCAGCTCTGCGACTCAGCAGGTTCAGTATTCAACTCTCTTCTCTAAATTTTTGTAGTGTTCCATTTGTTTTACGATCAACAGTAACTTCAGGAAAAAAAAAAGCAATATGAAACGTTATGAAACATTATATTCAAAGTTTTATATTCTTTTAGTTCCATGTACGTGAAGGGTAATTATGTGGAATTGTCTTCTCTTTTGATTTGTTTGGACTAATTTGGTCCGTGTAGGAATATGAAGTTGTCAATTAGTTCGTACTTCGTGCACATTGTTTGATTATTANTCCTTGTTTTTGCTTGCGTACAGCCACAACCGAGTCCCCATCGTTAGAAACTTAGAAAAGCCAAAACCCTCGCCGGTCGCCACCGATAAACCCCAGTCTCTGTGTATGTCGGGTTCGCGCGCAAAAACAATGGCTGCTTCAGCTGAATATGTGAAGCACATCGAGTCGTATGTTGACTCGTCCAGCTCTGCGACTCAGCAGGTTCAGTATTCAACTCTCTTCTCTAAATTTTTGTAGTGTTCCATTTGTTTTACGATCAACAGTAACTTCAGGAAAAAAAAAAGCAATATGAAACGTTATGAAACATTATATTCAAAGTTTTATATTCTTTTAGTTCCATGTACGTGAAGGGTAATTATGTGGAATTGTCTTCTCTTTTGATTTGTTTGGACTAATTTGGTCCGTGTAGGAATATGAAGTTGTCAATTAGTTCGTACTTCGTGCACATTGTTTGATTATTAGAGTTTTTGTCAGAACCAGGGGAATTTAGTAGCTTTAATGTTAGTTAGTTATTGCTGATTAGTTCAATTTGAAGGCCAAAAAACTGGGCAAATTTCACTTTACTTACGCCTTTCACCTTAGAAAATAACCACTTAACCCTCAATGTGGTTTGTGGAGCACAGTTCGCCACTGACTCCGTGAATGTTACTTGTTAAATGCCCGCAATACCTCCCATTTATAGAATAGATACGTGTTATTTTTTTCCTAAATTGCTTCCCTCTCTACATTTCTCTTTCTGTCTCCTCTTTTATANAACGTAACACAAAAATATAACTCAAATATTAATATCAAAATAAATCATTTATGGGTTGTTGCGTTTCTACTTTCTCCATTAATCGTGAATAACAAAATTCACTAAATGAGATAATATCGGGAGCTAATNTACGTAACACAAAAATATAACCCAAACATTAATATCAAAATAAATCATTTATGGGTTGTTGCGTTTCTACCTTCTCCATTAATCGTGAATAACAAAATTCACTAAATGAGATAATATCGGGAGCTAATGTTTACTCTAATATTGGCATTGAACATTGGATACACATCATCTTGGACATTTGTCTACATCTCATTGGCTCCCATAACATCAAAGAAGTGTTAATGTTTAAAGATTTTTAAGGAGTAACATAAAACTTTGAATTTTTAAGGATTAACATAAAACTTAGAATTTTTAAGGGGCCATAGTCAAAATTTGAATTGTTTTGGGGCAAATAAGAGTAAACACAACTTTCGCGGTTCTCCTTGTTTTTGCTTGCGTACAGCCACAACCGAGTCCACATCGTCAGAAACTTAGAAAAGCCAAAACCCTCGCCGGTCGCCACCGATAAACCCCAGTCTCTGTGTCTGTCGGGTTCGCGCGCAAAAACAATGGCTGCTTCAGCTGAATATGTGAAGCACATCGAGTCGTATGTTGACTCGTCCAGCTCTGCGACTCAGCAGGTTCAGTATTCAACTCTCTTCTCTAAATTTTTGTAGTGTTCCATTTGTTTTACGATCAACAGTAACTTCAGGAAAAAAAAAAGCAATATGAAACGTTATGAAACATTATATTCAAAGTTTTATATTCTTTTAGTTCCATGTACGTGAAGGGTAATTATGTGGAATTGTCTTCTCTTTTGATTTGTTTGGACTAATTTGGTTCGTGTATGAATATGAAGTTGTCAATTAGTTCGTACTTCGTGCACATTGTTTGATTATTAGAGTTTTTGTCAGAACCAGGGGAATTTAGTAGCTTTAATGTTAGTTAGTTATTGCTGATTAGTTCAATTTGAAGGCCAAAAAACTGGGCAAATTTCACTTTACTTACGCCTTTCACCTTAGAAAATAACCACTTAACCCTCAATGTGGTTTGTGGAGCACAGTGCGCCACTGACTCCGTGAATGTTACTTGTTAAATGCCCGCAATACCTCCCATTTATAGAATAGATACGTGTAATTTTTTTCCTAAATTGCTTCCCTCTCTACATTTCTCTTTCTGTCTCCTCTTTTATATTGACATACTTCCTATTCTTCTGTTATATACAATTGTAATATACAATTCATGCACATAAAAAAGTTCCAAGATTTTTTGAAGCTTTGGCGCAAAACCTTTTTTTTCACCCGAATTGGGTCTCTGCCCGTAAAGTGGGAGAATGAAGTTTGGCACTGATCATTTGTTCATTTGATCTTTGATATAAACAAACTTGAATTACACAATGACGCACAGAATGCAAAAGGGATACTTTCACGACATTGTGCAATTTTATCTCAAATAACCTTCTGCTATGCTTTTGCTTGGTAAAACTGAATATTCAGTGGCAGTGCAGAAGAAGAAAAAGTCAGTGCACATTGCTGGCTATGGTGTAGGGTTGGGATTGTGGCTGAAGATGTGGGTTAGCGGAATTGGACTTCAGAGTTTAAACAATATTGGTGGTTTAAACCCTTGGACGGTGGTTGTCTAGGTTTAGGTGGTCGCTGAAATGATTAAAACTTACGAAGGTGGGTATAGGGTTTGGAATGTGGTGGCGGTTGTTGAAGTCTTTTAGTTAACCTGNAATTGGACTTCAGAGTTTAAACAATATTGGTGGTTTAAACCCTTGGACGGTGGTTGTCTAGGTTTAGGTGGTCGCTGAGATGATTAAAACTTACGGAGGTGGGTATAGGGTTTGGAATGTGGTGGCGGTTGTTGAAGTCTTTTAGTTAACCTGGGACCAAAATTGTAACAACGCACTTATAGGTCCACAAACTAAATGAGGGTTATGTGGATATTTGAAGGTGAGGTAGGTGATGCATAGAAGGGCCTAACTAACCATGGATAGTAAAGTGAAATTTGCCCAAAAAAATTATTGGTGTTGGGATGTTTAAAACTTGCTTGGTATGCTGTTGAATTTCTGGTATGCTGTTGAATTTCAGGCTGCAAGTGTAGATGCAATTGCTGCTCTCTTGAAGAATGACATGCTAACTGTAGAAGCACTGGTAAGCTTCAGTTGTAATTCTTGTTGCCATTGCACTTTAAGATTGATTGACTCATTATGATCAGTTTTATATATCTTTTTTCGTATATATACCCTCTCTAATAAACATTATCATTTGTTATATAGGTTAAAGAGATGGAGATGTATTTGACCACTACAGATAGCATCATTCGCGCTAGAGGTATTCTACTGATATTTTATTGCTGGTTGCATTACCCAACATCCCTTCCTTTTTAATAGTAAATCTATAGCCAAATCCAAAAGCTTTCAATGATTATTTGTACAAGGTTTTGAATAAAATCAAAGGATCATCTTGAATATGAGTGCAATTTAAATTATCATTGTACAAGGTTTTGAATAAAATCAAAGGATCATCTTGAATATGAGTGCAATTTAAATCTCAACAAGCATATTTTTCTTATTTTGCCCGTATGATAAAATCTCGTTCTGTACCTTGTGAATTAGTATGGGAACAATTCATTTTTATGGCTTCACTTTGGGCCAAAGTCACAGGATGTTTTAGAGGGTTGCCTTTGTTGGATCTTCAAAGGAATTGGATGGCGGCTTTACTTTAGTTTTACTTTCTGCTTTTTTATTCATTTGTGATGATATCTTGGCATCTACATTGTATTATGCTTTTTATTCATTTCTATAATAAAATTTTTCTTTTATCAAGAATAAAAATAAAAAATGTGTATGGTAAAATCTAGGATGATTTATAATTTCAAACTACTTTTACCTATTGTACATTGGGCTGGTTATTTAAAATATTCCCTTTTACAGCAGATGACTGAGAACTTCTCATACAGGCTTCAATATTTGGTGTTATTTTCGTGTATGATACTCTATTATATTTGACACATGGGTGTCCTCTAAACAAAATCGTGCTTATATTTGACACAACTAGAATGGACGGATAAATAACGTTCATGAACTTCAGAGAGAATGGAATGGCCTCTCCTACTACATGGCATTGTTTCTAACTTTCAAGCTAAATTTTCTTGACATAAATTGAATGGCCCCTCTATTTCCCTTTGGTTTACCTTGCTCTACTCATTGAAATTGACTCGAGGGAACTAGCACATACATAGTTTTACTATCTGGATCGAAGAATGAATAAACATAGTTTTTGGGTAAATATCAATAAGCACAGATTCTTTCACTAGGTAGGGAGGGAAGCAAAAGGCCAACTACCCCAGTTCTTTCGTAATGCATTCTTGTTCCACCTTCATTGATGAATTTATCACGATGTGACACCAATGGAACTCAACATTGGATTTGTGAGGGTAAAGATACATCTTTTCAAGATCAAATGCTATTCAGGGTTTTAAAGAAAAATCCATGTTCATCTGCCAAAGACAATCTTAGAGTCAACATTACTGTATTCTAAACCACCTTCAACCTCTAGGAATAGCTATGGTTTAACATATTGTCATTATTACCTCTTACTGTAGGGAATTGCTTTGGATCTTCTCAACCCTGAACACAACTTTATAGGGACCTTGAATAACTGGATGATTCTGTAAGAGAGTGATCTTAACAGTAAGATAAATATGAGTCACTAGACTTGACAATTTTTAATTAAGCTTCTTCATGAGCAATGATCTTTGGGTTTTAGACATGCTGCCCCCAATTCAGCCCCAGCTGATGTTGTAGTGAGATGCTCCTGTGTGGGCTTAACACTTGGGACATATGTTAATGCATCTACTGTTGTCTTCAACAGCATAATTAGATCACGTGAGCATATTGGTGATAAATCATTTTTTTTCATTCTTACCATATGTTTGAGAAATATTATTTTCTATGAAGGTTTCCACATTTTTACTGTCCTGTTGCTGTTCAGGTATCCTCCTCCTCGGAGAATTATTGACAAAATTAGCATCAAAGCTTTTGGACAATGCTACTATACATAGCTTAATAGGATTCTTCACAGAAAGGCTGGTGAGTAAGCAATCTTGTAATGTAGTGTTATGCACTAAGACTTAGTTGTATTTATGAACATGCCTACATTGTTTTGGCTGTTATTTTCATGGCTTTCATTTTCCGTTTGCTTCATAAATTCATTCTTTTCTCTACTTCTGTTGCTCTTTCTTCCTTGAACTACTAGATATCATATTTCATGCTTTTTGGGTACTAATATCTGATATTAGGATTTGTGCTTGTTTCATTGGCTTAGTCAAGTCATAATCCAATTATTTCTGTTATATACATTAATCTATATTACTAACAAAAATGGTTTAAGTGAAAAACTTTTGATTTTTTCATTTATCCTTTAATAATTCTATAATGTCTACTTGAGAAATTTTTTTTCAAAAATTCTATAATATCTACTTTATCATTTTTTGAGGAATTTTTCATTTTTTTATTAGTTGCACTAATTCAACTAATAAATTCATTATTTAACTTTTGATTATCTTCTTTTGAAACAATATAAATTCGATCTAAATCCAATTTGAACAATGTGATCCGATTTCGATTCAATTGTCCAAGGAATTTTATTTTTCACAATGCATATATGAATCCGTTAGAATAAATATTTGTTATAATCCGAATAAGTTGATTAGAGATGATTTTAACATTTCATACATGGATTTCTACTCAATTTTATTAAATAATCACCAAACTACATCATATGTTTGTCGATACATAGTGCATAGCCAAATTTGCTAAAAACCAAACATTTGAATATATCTAATAATGATACTACTTTCGAATGTTAGTGCTTGTCAAAAAAATTTAATTGATAATACTATATTTAAAAAGGTAAAAAGACAATAATAACCTATTGTAATAACTTCTTATTGGTTCAAGAAATTAGTAGTCATCCATCTATTAATCACTTACTGAAGTTAAACATTATAATTTTTAAATACAATACGATGCAATTAATTATTTTTTTTGAACCTTATGCAATTCAGGTCATACAACTCAAAATACGAGAAAATTCTTGAGCGTAACAGTTATCTCACGGCAGCAGTGTCACTTTGTGTAACCGTTCACTAATAAGTGGACAAGTAAACCCCATAAAACTCAATAAGTGTAACTATCATGTAATATATAATCATCTCTCTATATAAAAAAATTGGTCCAATTTATCTATTTTTATTGGACAGATACGCTTACATTGAATATTTAATCCTAAAATACAATGGTAATTATTGGGAGTTACTGCCAACTGAAGAAGCATGACTGTTGTACAATTCTAGGAGTTTCATAACTCCAACTCAGAATAAAACAGGTGAAAAGTTGGCCGGCTAAGTTTTTGGGTCCTATAAAAATGCCCAAATATTCTCTCCTTGGACCCTTCAAACTTGCGATTTGGAAGGGATCCAGGCCGAAGGTTTGTATTACATTTGGATTGGTGTTTATCTATTGTGAGTAATAAAAGTCTTGATCATTAAAAGTTTAGTAAGCATGCATCTGTAATAGTATTTTCAGTGTGTGATGGGTCATCGCAAGTTTTGGATCGCATTTCTTACATCGTTGAGCCAATTCAGCTCTATCTCTCTGATCTCTTTCTCTCTCACTCACACACACACACACAAACATTTTGTTGAGTTGTAGATCAATGACACATTTTCAGAAAAAGTTATATATATTAAGCGGAAGTAAGATTACGGCTAGAAGTGCTAATGAAACTCTTTGAATATTGGACATCTATGTAGTCCTATAGTGACAAAATATTCCACCCCCCTCTCTCTTTGGGTGTTGTACTTAATTTGAGATGGTCTTTGAAAAAGGTTGCTTATTGAGGGTTCTTTATTTTTTTGAGACATTTTCTCCTAAATATTTTATAGATTTTATTAGGAAAATATTTGATACATGAGGGCAACCTATCAATTGTATCTTTTTCTCTCAAAGGATAAAATTTTTCAGTAGCATAATTGTCGATTTTAGTGCTTGAGACAACTTTTATGGTTGGATCACTCACTATGTTGACATGCCTTAGCCATTATTGATGGATATAAGTTTTTTGAGATTTTTCTAAGAATCAATTATTCATATACTTTTGAATATAAATATCTATGTTCATGTTGATGGAAAATGGAAGTCACATTACAAGAAAAGAATTTCCGAAATGACCTTAAAAGTTAATAAATGCTAGATAGAAAAGGATGGGTCCGGACGGCGTTTGTCCCAACGCGGAAACCAAATGCCTTTAAAGTGCCTTTTTCTTGTAGTGTCAGTAGTAATGAACCATTCTAGCTAAATTCTACTTGAAACCTTTAATAAAATTATTTGGTATGTACTCAATGCAAATACAACTTGAATAATAAAAAATTGGAGCCTATTAGTGGGTCCTATGGTAGATGTTGGGAATAAACATAAATTGATTGATTAATTTAATGCGTAGATATTCTCATCCCATTTCGATTCAAGGATTTTCTATTGGACTCCCTTTGGACCCTAGCTCACTAAGCTCTCTTGGTTGACAATTGGTTGACAATTTTCTCATCCCATATTATCCTTTTCTTTTGTTTTGACCGCCTCGTAACGAGGATTAACCGTAGGAAGCTTCCAATGATGGTTAGATGGGGAACATTATTTACATGAAACTGTAATGANTGACATGCTTCCTTTTCTTTTGTTTTGACCGCCTCGTAACGAGGATTAACCATAGGAAGCTTCCAATGATGGTTAGATGGGGAACATTATTTACATGAAACTGTAATGATAATATGCCTCAGACTGTGAATTGATAGGGGTGAAGTTATGTAACGGACAGTTGAAAGAATGACAAATGATTTTTTATTTATTCACAAAAAATATGTCAAAATAGTTGACGTATAACACACGTGTGCACTAACTAGTATGTATAAATAGGAATAAATCCAAAATTGATACTTGTTGAGATTCTTTGTCTATTCATTAAGATCTTCAATGTGATTGGATTTCGCTTCGTGACCGGTGCTTGATTCTTTTTTTTTTCTTAGTATTTCTTTTTGTCTTTGTTTCTGCTTTTGCTTTTTGAAGGGTCCCTCGTCCTTCTTGTACTGATCCCTGAGTTTTATTTTCAGTAAAATTCTTCTGTTGCTCATCGTAAAGGTAGATGATATTATTTATATCAGGCAGATTGGAGAGCTTTGCGTGGTGCCCTTGTCGGTTGCTTGGCCTTAATGAGGAGGAAAAGTAATGTTGGTAGTGTTACTGACAGTGAAGCAAGAGCAGTTGCCCAATCTTTATTGGAAAACCTGCAAGCACAATCGTTAGGACAGCATGATAGGAAGGTAAAATATAATGCGTCCGCAGGTTAATGCTGATCTGTTTGATAACTTATCTATCAGAATGAAGCTAATATTACGATGTCAACCTATTTCTCTCTTTTTATTTTTTTTGTTTTTTATGTATGTCAAAATCAGCTAGTATTCTTGTAGTTTTCTCCATTTGATATTTACCATCTGTTTTTTTTTGCAGCTATGCTTTGAACTTGTTGAATGCCTTCTAGATGACTACCCTGATGCAGTTGTGGCAATGGTATTTTTCAATTCTTGCTTGTCTCCAACCTTTTCTTTAGATGGTAATCTCTCTTCTATTCATATGATGTGAGTGCGATTTTGATGTGTTGCCTTTTATGATTTCTATTCTGTAAAAGGCTAAACAATGAGGGAGATAACTACTGCTCTCTGAAGAGATCTATTAAAACCTGGTTAATTTTGATATCAGCTACTTCTGTTTTTAGTGTGGTTGTTGGACTCCATTACCCACGTTGGTTCTGTCTAAGTGGGGTGGACTGAATAAAAGTAAGTTGGAAAAGTACCGACTTTCCAGAGTTAACTTTCAGTCCAATTTTTAAGAAATGCTGTTCATTTAGCCTCACTATGTTGGATAGTTTGAAACTTTTGAGGCTTAGAATCAGTTTCTTAGGGATTGAATGCAAAATATTTCTGCAATTTACAGAATGTTATTGTTGCCTCACCTAGTGGCATACTTTTTTATTAGCCAGCACAAGCTGCATCTCTTTGCATGCTATCCACAGAGTCAAATTTGTCTAGTTTCCACCTTCATTCCTGCCTATTTCTTTGAAATTTGAGTGCATTTACTTAGGATTAGATTCTGCATCATGACTTTCTTTGGTTGAAATCCATTCTTAATGGCTGGGAGTCCTTTCGGTTTGCATGATCAAGCTTCCAATGTTTTAGAGTTATATACTTTTTTACTTGTTGCTATTTTCATACAGTAATCTACTTATGCAATTTATGTAACTTTAACTTGATCTCTGCCTCCTGCCCACTTGGTGCAAGGTATCTAAAGGCTTTCCCCAATCTCGTGTTTCTTTTATCCCCCTATTATTTTATCACCTTTATACTTGAAATTACTGAGACAGTTGTGTGGTTCAGGGTGATTACCTTGTCTATGGAGTCTGTGAATCTATTGATGGAGAAAAGGATCCTCAATGCTTAAGGCTCACATTTCATATTGTGGAAGATCTGGCACTGTTATTTCCAGATCCGTCTGGCCCGCTAGCAAGTTTTGCTGAAGGACTTTTTGAAATTTTGGGCTGTTACTTTCCTATCCATTTTACACATGTGAGATTGATGAATACAACTCTTGATTGATTTTCTAAATTGTGTTTCCTGCAACTCATTACTTATATAATATTCAGCCAAAAGGTGAAGATGTTGACGTGAAGAGGGAAGAGCTCTCAAGGGCACTAATGGTATGTGATCTATTCGTGACACTGTCATTGTAACATTTGGCTGTCTTTTTATATAGAGATTATTGTACTTTGCATGGCTTGAGGATTATTGTACTTTGCATGGCTTGAGGTTGCTGTGGGTCCGTTGCTGTGGGTCCATTGCCAGTATCATGGTGTACATATAAACTAACAAGCATTATCGATACAACAATCAAGCAGTGTTGATGTTTCAATAATTAATGATCTTTTTTATTTAACCACATTGTAGAGCTTTTGTTGGGCACCCATTAAAGCTTAGGCACTAAAAGTGAGAGGAGGGCCAATATTCTTCTAGACATTTCATTTGCTGGATCATGGGGAGTATTAAGTTCCACTTTTTGTTATGGAACCCTGGTCAAGAATTCTGTGGCACGCTAAGGGCAATGTCATCATTCTTAGTGTTCATTTGGGACCATTGTTCTAGCTTTTCAAAGACCAGATTTCATGTGAGGCCATTGTGATCGAAAACATTCAGCTTGTGCTATGTTAGGTTTTGATTGGGTTTATCAAAATTAATTGATATTTGGGAGTTAAGAATGACAGTGAAGAATTAGGAAAGGAAGTAATTGCAAATGTGCTTCTTTTACATTGCCTGAGGTATTTGGTTGGAAAGAAACTCTTTAATTTGTGAGGATAATAAGGAGGTGGTGGAAGGATTGTGAGATAGAATTTCTTTTTAGCTTCATTTTGGGCCTCCCTTGCTAAGGACTTTGATAATGTTCCTTTTTTTTCGCATCGTGAGTTGGACAACATTGTATGGATTATAATGTGATTATCAGGATTTTGTAGTGCTTGTTCTTTTTGGGTTGGTCAACTTGTCCAACTTTTCTAGGATAATGTTCCTATNCGCATCGTGAGTTGGATATGGATTATAATGTGATTATCAGGGTTTTGTAGTGCTTGTTCTTTTTGGGTTGGTCAACTTGTCCAACTTTTCTAGGATAATGTTCCTATTCATTTAACCCATTGATAAAATTTTGTTTCTTGTCAAAAAAATGAATGACAAAGGAAGTATAGGTTCTTGCCAAGTACATGAAATAGTTAACCATCTGCATTTGTTTGGGACCAAGAATCTTTCATTCCCTTTGGATCTGGCTGTCTTTGAGCTATCTGTGTAAACTTGGAGGGGATTTGTAATTTTCGGAAGTTCTCCGGTGCTGACAGCATCTGTAACTGGTCTAACAGAAGGAATTTACTTCTTCTAAGCATTTTTTGCAATTGTGTAGAGATTTGGCTCCATGTATCCTTTCCTTATGGAGACTGATTTCTTTAGAACCAACTCTTGTTGAACTTTTTCCCCAGGTTGAGTTGGTTTGCAATTGAATATTTACTTTTCAATAGACAGAATGCTGTGATTCTTGCTCATGCTTTATTGATGCTGGCATGCTGCTTAATTTGCTATGTTATAACATGATTTGGACATGTGATTTTCCGTCTCAGTTTTTAACTTATTTTAATTTCCAGTTGGCGTTTGCTGCTACACCTCTCTTTGAGCNATTATTGTACTTTGCATGGCTTGAGGTTGCTGTGGGTCCGTTGCTGTGGGTCCATTGCCAGTATCATGGTGTACATATAAACTAACAAGCATTATCGATACAACAATCAAGCAGTGCTGATGTTTCAATAATTAATGATCTTTTTTATTTAACCACATCGTAGAGCTTTTGTTGGGCACCCATTAAAGCTTAGGCACTAAAAGTGAGAGGAGGGCCATTATTCTTCTAGACATTTCATTTGCCGGATCATGGGGAGTATTAAGTTCCACTTTTTGTTATGGAACCCTGGTCAAGAATTTTGTGGAACGCTAAGAGCAATGTCATCATTCTTAGTGTTCATTTGGGACCATTGTTCTAGCTTTTCAAAGACCAGATTTCATGTGAGGCCATTGTGATCGAAAACATTCAGCTTGTGCTATGTTAGGTTTTGATTGGGTTTATCAAAATTAATTGATATTTGGGAGTTAAGAATGACAGTGAAGAATTAGGAAAGGAAGTAATTGCAAATGTGCTTCTTTTACATTGCCTGAGGTATTTGGTTGGAAAGAAACTCTTTAATTTGTGAGGATAATAAGGAGGTGGTGGAAGGATTGTGAGATAGAATTTCTTTTTAGCTTCATTTTGGGCCTCCCTTGCTAAGGACTTTGATAATGTTCCTTTTTTTTCGCATCGTGAGTTGGACAACATTGTATGGATTATAATGTGATTATCAGGATTTTGTAGTGCTTGTTCTTTTTGGGTTGGTCAACTTGTCCAACTTTTCTAGGATAATGTTCCTATTCATTTAACCCATTGATAAAATTTTGTTTCTTGTCAAAAAAATGAATGACAAAGGAAGTATAGGTTCTTGCCAAGTACATGAAATAGTTAACCATCTGCATTTGTTTGGGACCAAGAATCTTTCATTCCCTTTGGATCTGGCTGTCTTTGAGCTATCTGTGTAAACTTGGAGGGGATTTGTAATTTTCGGAAGTTCTCCGGTGCTGACAGCATCTGTAACTGGTCTAACAGAAGGAATTTACTTCTTCTAAGCATTTTTTGCAATTGTGTAGAGATTTGGCTCCATGTATCCTTTCCTTATGGAGACTGATTTCTTTAGAACCAACTCTTGTTGAACTTTTTCCCCAGGTTGAGTTGGTTTGCAATTGAATATTTACTTTTCAATAGACAGAATGCTGTGATTCTTGCTCATGCTTTATTGATGCTGGCATGCTGCTTAATTTGCTATGTTATAACATGATTTGGACATGTGATTTTCCGTCTCAGTTTTTAACTTATTTTAATTTCCAGTTGGCGTTTGCTGCTACACCTCTCTTTGAGCCGTTTGCCATTCCGTTACTTCTTGAAAAACTTTCATCTTCTCTGCCATCAGCGAAGGTTGGTGACATTTGAATTCAGTTCTACTTGTGTCCTTGCTTTTAGGGGGCATTTATTATCTGTTCAGGTATATTCGTTTTGATGACTTTCTATGACCACAGGTTGAATCTTTGAAGTATCTTAGCTATTGCGCAGTTAAGTACGGATCAGACAGAATGGCGAAACATGTTGAAGCTCTTTGGTCTTCATTAAAAGATGCTACTCTTATTTCAGCACAGGCTTCTTTGCCCTTGGAATCAGAATCACTGGATGGTATGGGCTTTCAGGAGAATGAAATTGTGACAGAAGCCCTCAGACTTCTGGAAAAGCTTATTCAACAAAGCAATGGCTTGTTCTTAAGTTTTGTTCTTGGTGATGAAGATATAAAGTCAGCTATAATCACCATTACTAGTTTCAATGGCTATGATGATATTCCCTTGCAAAGCAAACAGAGGCTACATGCAATAGGTTGTATCTTATCTGTTTCTTCCAAAGCTTCCATTGGTTCGTGCAATAGCGTGTTCGAAAGTTTCTTTCCACACCTAATGGAAGCTTTGGGGCTTTCAGTTCAAAATTCGTCTTGGAATGGCCATCCAGATGAACCTCATGTATTTACTGCAAACCTAAATTTTGGATCTCTGTATCTCTCTGTTGAAATCCTAGCTGCGTGCAGATATTTGGTTGTGGGCTCAGATGAGCTTAACTCTCTTCCTGTTTCTTCTCATGAGACATGGTGCAGTATGCTTCATAGCTTTTGTAGTTCATTGACCGAGGTTTTCTGTTCTACCTTTCTGACAAGCATGAATGCAAGAACTCAAAAAGCTTATATTCAATGCGGAGGTGGGTACTTTTGTTTGTTAATCCAGTAGATTATTGTTCTACACGTATATACTATATCCCCCTATTAGTGTAAATAAGTGGTTGGCTGCAAGATAGTAGTTTTAATTTTGTTAATTTTTTTTTAGTTTATTTTGTGTTTTTGTTTACATACATATGCTTGCGTTGGTTATTATTTGAGAAGCTTGCTCAACACTGGTTCACAAGGATCAGGTGCACATGGATTTGGGTATGCACTTGAAATGTAGGATTGTGTCTTGGTATCAGATCTGTCTAATTATCTTATGATGTGGAAACATGGCTGACTTGTTTCCAGGCCTGTGATAAAAAATCAAGTGTCTGTTGTCATATGACATGTCTAACACTTATTTCGAAAGGTGCAATGATAAAAAATGCTTCTCTTTTTATCTTTGTTGGAGATGTTTGCAGCAACTGCATGCCGCATACCTGCCCATACCAATTATGTGGGATGTAAGCATCGTATGTTCTCATGCGTAATTTTGCTATGGGAATGGGNATGATAAAAAATGCTTCTCTTTTTATCTTTGTTGGAGATGTTTGCAGCAACTGCATGCCGCATACCTGCCCATACCTATTATGTGGGATGTAAGCATCGTATGTTCTCATGCGTAATTTTGCTATGGGAATGGGCTAGACAGAGTTATCAACATAATATAGACAAATCTAAAATTGGGAAAATCCTTCTTTTTTTTTTTGCCATGCAACAAGGCCCAAATAATATGGCGGGATATGATATGACGGGTTTTAGAGAAGAAGAGAATTACAAATAGATATATAGATATGATTAAGGGTATGCATAACGGTGCATTGATTTTAATTAGAACAATTGCAGGGGAAAGTAGTGAATTCTCGATCACAGTAGGCCTGTTCCACTTTAAGTTCGTATGTCTTTGCCTTAATTATGGATGAACTGACTTGACACATTGACAATGAGGTTCCATGGTACATATTATTTGCCAGTGTATTGGTTGATGAAACTAAATAAGTATTAACAATAAGCTAGAAATTTGGAGAGAAACTTTCGAATAAAACAAAAAAAGGAAAGAAGTACAAAAAATGACGATGTTAAAATGGATGTGAGGTAAAACAAAAAAACATAAAAGTGGGGATGAGTATATTCGTGAAATCATAGAGGTCGCACTAATAGGAGATAAATTAAGAGAGATTTGAGTTAGCTGGTTTGAACATGTTTACAGAAGACCTAGTAATGCACTAGTAATATGCATATCAGTGGTAATGCCGGAGATAGATGTAGGCCTAATATAATTTTGAGCAAAATAGTAAAAAAATGATATGATTGCCTATGGTTTGACTGAAAGTATGGCCCTTGATAGGACACAATGGAGAAATATAATTCATGTAGTCCAGCTAAATAGTTGAGATTAAGGCTTTGTTAAGTTTAACAAGGACCAAGTAATGACAGAGGCTTTCATTACAGATGGTTTATTGATCATATCTAAGAGCACTGAACTTCTTATATGTTTCAGTTTCATGTGAATACCTTANGTTAAGTTGAGTTTAACAAGGACCAAGTAATGACAGAGGCTTTCATTACAGATGGTTTATTGATCATATCTAAGAGCACTGAACTTCTTATATGTTTCAGTTTCATGTGAATACCTTATGGCTACATCAATTGTCTTTTACTACTGTATTTATCAGGACATGCTGAATTTACTTGAGGTTTTGTCATTTTTTCTTCAAAGAAAGACCACTGTATAAAGTTCATGGGGAGACAAGTTTTTAGATTGTTTTTTGTTGACAGGAAATAATAAATCTTATTAATAAAGTAGAATAAGGAAAGTTACAAAGATCGATCAAAGGTGGACAAGTCGTCCAACCCAATGCAAGGTTAAGACAATCACCATCTAGGCACAACTATGAAAAATGGCCAAAAATACAATCCACTTGAAGTTTTCCAGCTTGCACTAATACAAAAATGAGGAATATTCGCAAACTCATTAGACACCGAAGCCCAAAAGGGCACCCATTAATCTTCCATCCTAAAAGGAAACAAGTAAAAACACGAGAGAAAGAAAACGAAAATGAGGAAGGAAGAGAAGACATTCTTCCAGCATGGGCTCCACATCTCTTTTGAAGATTTGATTAATCACATAATGTCCACACTACTTCTGTCTCAAAGTTATTAGAAGAGCCTATTAGTGTCATATTTTTGGTTATCATCATAGAGCTAAATATCTTTTTTTTGGGCCACTACTTACGTCTCTTATTCCTTTTCCCCTACTTCAAAAATGCAGTGAAGGGTTTGCAGATTTTAGCCACATTTCCTGAAAGCTTCTCACCAGTGCCAAAATCCATATTTGAGAATATTTTGCTGCAGTTGATGTCAATCATCCTTTCGGATTTTAACAGGACATTGTTGTGGAAATTGGCACTGAAATCATTGGGGGAGATCGGCTCATTTATTAATAAATATCATGAGTCTGAGAAGGCATTAATCTTCGAGGTTACTGTCATAGAGAAGACTGCTTCAATGATTTCTTGTGAAGATTCTATGATGCCTTTCTCACTGAAAATGGAAGTGGCTACCTGTATTGGTATGACTGGGTTGCCTTTTATGCTGAGAATTGTTGAAGTCATGGACAAGGCGATATCTGCCAATTTGTCTGAGGTCTATGTATGTCTTCTGTTTTTATCCTTATTTAGAAGACTTGAATTATTCTTCTTTCAGTTATTCCCTCTGCAAGTCATCAAGAAACGGCAAAATTTAATGTTTCTTTGACATTGCATTTTGTTGGTATAGGCCCATGGAAATTTGAAGTCAGCTGAATTTACAATTCAGCTTTTGGAGTGTTACTGTAATAAGTTGTTTCCCTGGTATGTGATTCTCTTTTGGCAATTGTGATTCCTCCTTCAGTCCTACTTACTCCAAATTATTATCCATATTTCTTATGCTTGCTTTTCAACTCAATATTTTTCATATTTGCTTTATTCTCCGCATTTTCCCAAAGTCCAAGTGTAATAGGCATGCTCAAACTTCGATTTACTTAGTGAGCTGGCTTGGTAAAAAAAGGATGCTATTTTTCATTCTTATTATGAAAAATAACTTTAGGTTGGTTTGTAAGAGAAGGCCCACCTCTCCTTCTCAAACATAGTTGTACTAGTCCATTGAAAATTTTGATCCCAGGTCTGTGGCACCAGTTCTCTCGTGTATTACAGTGTAAAAACAATGAATACGGATTGGAGAAATCAGTGAGGTTAATTAGGAGAAAAAGAATCGAATGAGGAAATGAAATAAAAAAAAAAACTCACCTTTAGTAGATGTTTGTAATAGTTAATAAGATAATCCACAGGGAAGCTAGAAGTAATGTTATGATTGTAGACAGTGGTTATAAATCATCGTTCTTCATATTTGGTGTTTGTCTTTCCACTTCTGACAGAGGTAGTATTTCAGATAATTTACTGTTGCTTTTTGACATAATTGTCTGTTGGTTGTCTGAATCACTTATTGGACAAGGCTCAGGTTTGATAATGCTGGAGGTTTTGAGGAAGTACCATTGCATTTCACAGTTAATCTTTGGAACCAAATTGAAAATAGCAATTCTTGTAGCAGTGGATTTCAGGACAAAGTAAGTGCTCGTTCATTATTGATGTGTCACATTTCTAGTCAAGTCTCTTTCAGATGTTTAATTGAGGTCTTGCAAGTTCATATTTGATATCCTTAGGCTGGCTTCAGCTCGACTCTAACTGGAGTCGGAAGGGATTTTGCCCTCCGACCACGACTCTGAACTACTATAACTCTGCCTCCGACTCCGCCTTGTCGGAGGCAGAGTGGAGTTTGGGCTAATCTTTGTTGGGCTTTCTTATGTTTTTTTAAAACTTTTCCTGGGAGTTGGGCTATTTTTGGATGGGATTTGGACCAATTATTTTTTTTTTGTTGAAATTTGGGTTAATTTCTAAAAGACTACCAGTAGGCACATAAAATAGAGAAACCAATGTTCAGTTTTAGGATGTCTTAATATAAATTTTCATATGATAATTATTATATCATTTGTAATTTATATAAAATTATTTATTAATAAAAGTTGGAGTNTGGCCAATTTCTAAAAGACTACTAGTAGGCACATAAAATAGAGAAACCAATGTTCAGTTTTAGGATGTCTTAATATAAATTTTCATATAATAATTATTATATCATTTGTAATTTATATAAAATTATTTATTAATAAAAGTTGGAGTCGGAGTCGGAGTTAGAGTTTTTTTGGAAAGAATTTCAGACTCTGATAAATCGGAGTCTGAGACCATCTAACTCCAATTCCGATTCCGTTAAACTCCGATGGAGGCGGATTCAGATTTCCAGATTCTTGGACACCACTAGCTTCAGCTTCAGCATTTACAAGTGTTGGAAATAATGGGAATATCAACTCAGAAATAATAGATATATCTTTTATGTCTCCAGAAACTTCTTGGTGCAATAATGGCGGCAATGAAGTATGCTGTTGGATGTTGTATGGAAGAAAGTCAGACCATAATTGTCCAGAAAGCTTTCAGGGTACTTACTTCAAGCTCCTGTTTCCAGTTGGAGTCTCTGTTGGGTGTTACTGGGGACCTACTTGAAGGGTTACGACTTACTCATGATTTAGACTGTGTTTCATGTAGAGATGAATGGATTATTTCATTATTTGCATCAGTTGTTATAGCACTTTGTCCTGAGACGGACATTCCACATGCTAAAGTGATATTGCAGTTATTCTTGACAACCCTCCTCAAAGGTCATGTTCCATCAGCTCACGCATTGGGTTCTTTGGTTAACAAACTGCCTCTAAAAATAAATGGAACAGATATTTCAAAAGATTGTAGTTTAGAAGAATCAATGGATCTGATCTTTAACAGTAGTTTATGGGGTTCATGTGATAATGGTTCTTTAAGGAGCTGCTTGGGTGATGGCAGTGAGATGGATCTTAGTAGATTAAGGTTAAGCAGTGTAAACACTCGGGTGCACGCTATCATTGGATTAGCATGGATGGGGAAAGGTTTGCTTATGCGGGGTCATGAAAAGGTAAAAGACATAATTATGACTTTTTTGAGTTGCATAATGTCCCATGGAAATATTTTGACCTTTCCATGGAAGCATGATCCACTAGAGAACAGTAAAGAGCAGGAAGTGCTCCCTCTGATGAAGTATGCAGCAGATGCATTCCAAATTCTAATGAGTGATTCTGAAGCTTGTTTGAACAGAGGATTTCATGCAACAATACGGCCACTTTATAAGCAACGCTTTTTCAATACCATGATGCCCATTCTACTATCTGCAATAGTGAGATCTAATTCATCAATTTCAAGGTACGTAACTGAGTCATGAATCTTCCCTTGCTTTGCAGATTGCTATGTTCCACTAAGTTCTCTGTGTTTTTCCACCAATAATGTGGAATGCGGAGTTTTTACCTCTGATGATATTGATGCCTACATAGCTTGCCATATCACTAATCAAATCCTTTATGGACAGGAGAAAGGGTTTCTGCTATGCATTTCTATTTGGTGCTTTGCACACTGAAGCTTGATATGCTGTCCTACTATTGGATTGCAATTCTGAATTATCTTTTTTATTTATTTTTTCTTGTGTGAAATGATTTAGTTTTTCCGTTATACAAACAGTATTGCCAGTGCTGTAAAGTGTAAACATGTATGATTTTTGTTTAGTTTACTACTGAATGTTTTTCTACTATAAACATTCATGTGCCTATCAGGATTCTAATATCCAGTACCTGTCAATGTTGTGCTCATGCAAACATCAATGTTATCCTTATTTCTGCTGTTGAACCTTTTGTTTTTGATTGCTTTTCATGGTTCCAAGTCATGATATTTGTCATAATAATGAGTCACAATTTTGGGTCACGACACCTGAGGAATATGTGCACATGTAATGGGGGCCAGGAAACTTGAATTTTTGCTTTCGGTAAATACCCAGAAATTTGCCGTGGCATGTGTTGAATATTTCAATGCTGAGATTTGCAGAATTTGAACGCTCAACAATTATTATCTTGATTTTCTTACAATGGACTAGAATAAAAATTGAAGTTGTGTTAGCCCAGAGATGCCATTATGTATCGGTGTCGGCCGTTGTGTCGAACCATGTTATTTTTGCTCTAGTTTATTGAAAGAAAAGAAGATATGTAGATCCTTCTTGGTGCTTAATGATTATAAAAAATGGATATGTTTCTATATAGTTAAGTTGTAAAGCCGTTAGGGTTTTGAGGGAGAGAAGAATAGGAGAAAGAGAGAAGATTGCCAGAATAAGGTAGTGTGTTAAGTTACATAACTACGCCCAACATATATATAGTCACAAAGTACAAAGAACTGAACTACCCTTAATTTAGAAATAATGCATAATATAACATTCCCCCTTAAGGTAGTACATAGATATCTCTTATATACAACTTGCAAACATTTGGGTGAGAAACGTTGCTACTAAGCCCCTTGTGAAGATGTTAGTCAATTGGTTTTCTGATTTCACAATAGGCATGCAAATCGAACCCTTATTTAATTTCTACTTAATAAAGTGTCAATCAATTTCAACATGCTTAGTTGTATTATGTTGAACTAGTTTGCGGATAATATTGATAGCCAACTTATTGTCACGGTATAGTCTCATAGGTCTGTCATCATAAATCCTTAGCTCTCTCAGTAATGTTTGGAGTCACATAAGCTCACAAACTCCATGCACCCTTTTTTGTATTCAGCCTCCACATTATACTTAACCATCACTGCTTGCTTGTTTCTTCGCCATGTGACTAAATTACCTCCAATCAAGGTAAATAGCCTGAAGTTGATCTTCTTCAGTCAGCATCAATATATACTTCTAGTTTCAAGTGACCATTATTAGAGAACATGATTTCTTTTCTTGGAGCTAATTTAAGATACTTCAAAAAACGATAAAAAGCTTCAAAATGAGGAATTCAAAGATCATCGATGAATTGATTGACAACACTCACTGCATAAGCAATATCTAGTTGAGTATATGAGAGATATATTAATCTCCCCACGTCTTTGGTCTCTTTCTTTTTTCTATTATCTCACCAATACCATCACTTAGTTGATGGTTAACTTCAATAGGAGAATCTATGGGTCTACATTCTAACATCCTTGTCTCGTCAAGAAGCTCAAGAACATTCTCTTTGGGAGATGAAAATGCCTTTATCTGACATGACAAATCTCAATCCTAAGAATGTATCGTAATGGATCAAATTCTTTGATTTCAAACTTCTTAGCCAACTGAACCTTCAATTTGGTGATTTCATTCTCAGTTATCACTTTGTCATCCACATATACAATGAGGATCGTGATCTTGTCATCAATCTGTTTATATCCAAATTTTAGCATAGCCTTAACGAACCTATCAAACCAAGCTCTGGGGATTTGCTTCAATCCATAGAGAGATTTTTACAATTACACACCTTCCCATTAGTTGTCTGAGACGAAAAGTTTGGAGGAATGTTCATGTTCACATCCTGCTCCAAATCTTAGTGAAAGAAGACATTCTTCAGATCCAACTGCTGCAAATTCACCCCAAATTGGCTGCACAAAAGATAAGCCCAAGTATGGAGTTCATCTCTCCCACGAGAGCAAAAGTCTTTTGATAATTAGTACCATATGTCTACGTATATCCCTTAGCAACCAGCCTAACTTTGTACCAGTTAACAGTCCCATCAGCTTGTTGGTTGATAGGAAGCACCTATTTGCACCCTACTATTCGTACTCCTGACGAAATGGAAACAAGCTCCCATGTGTCATTATTTTTCAAGGCTTTTATTTTCTCTACCTTCTTTCCACTTAGACTCTTGAGGAATATATACAGAAGACAACGAAGAAACAAATGTGCGATAAGATGGAGACACAAAATCATAAGAAACCAAGTTAGAGATAGGATGCTGGGTACAAACTCGAACATTCTTCCTGACTGCAATGGGAAGCTTAGAGTCATTAACAATTGGATATTCATAACAAAAGTAACACTTGGAAATTCATTACTAGACAAATTGGCAAAGGATGGAACTGGAGTTGGGGAATTCAACCGGTTTAGCGGCACATAGGTAAGCTGTACCTTTTGACTTTGATTATTAATCGTCAGATAATCCTTGTGAATATAATCACCATGTGGATCACTGATATCACATTTTTTCTCTGCAAGATGTTAGTTCTTTTCACTAACATTCCAGTAAACAGACAATTGATTGAAATGAAAAAGAGGTTACTGACAAAATATCTCTTCCTCTATAATGACATTCTCCCCTTGTAGAGATCTCAAGGTAACAGGGAAGAAGGGTTCAAATTCGTGAAAGGTTACATCCATACTAACATACATTTTCTGAGACTTTAGATGATAGCATTTTTATCCTTTTTTGGATGGCGAAGTAACCAACAAACACATCTCAGAGCCCTAGAATCATGTTTTTCCTTGGAGGGTTTGTAATCATGTACAAAACAAATATACCCAAAGACTTTAGGACGAAGGGAAAAAATGAAAGAATACTCCATCGAACACTCAATTGGGGACTTAAAGTGAAGGACATTTGAGATTAGGCGATTAATAAGACAAGCAACCGGAAGAACAACATCCCCCATAAAGATGGTGAAATATTCACAGTAAACAACAATGAATGAGCAACCTCAAGGTGACGATTTTTTCGCTCAATAATATCATTTTTTTCAAGGGTACTCACATAAGTGGTTTGATATAGAATGCCATTATCATTGAGATAAGAATGAAAATCTCAATCAATATACTCAGTTTCATTACCACTATGAAGGATTTTGACTTTGCCATTAAACTGGGTACTCCCCATTTTGTGAAAAAATTTGAAGCACTAGAAAACTTTCACCTTTACTGCATAGTAGGTAAATCAAAATAAGACAAGAATAACAATCAATAAAGGTAACAAACCTACGATAACAAAAAATAGACGCAACACGGGAATGACTACACACAACAGAATGAATAACAACGAAATGAGTAGTGCTTTCTATTAGTAATACTAAGATAAGATGAATATTTATGCTTGAAAAATTCATAAGCATCACAAACAAAAAAATTTCTATCATACTATTTCATTAGATTATGAAAAAGATGCTCTAAAACACCAAATGAGAGATGTTCCAAATGTCTGTGCCACTAATTTAAGAACTGAAGGGTCAAAACACCATCTCCCAGGAGAGCTTGACTGGTAGACTAAGGAGAAACGTCAGCATCTAGACAAACCACAATGTGCTTTACTATTGTCAATCGTTTTCCTCAGCTCCAGTTCTTGAAAAGTACAATGAGTAGGGAAAAAAATTACTGAACAATTCAAGAATTTTTTAATACTACTAACACAATAAATTAATTGATTCTTTTTCAGAAATAGAGGATAAATAACCGTTTGTCGCATTGACTTTATCCCTAATAGAACATGTAGAATATGAAGAGAAAATACTAGAAGAACTTGTCATGTGATTTGTGGCTCTAGGATTTATTTTCCAAGGAGTGTATGAGGATGGCATAATAAACGCACTAGCAGATACACTTGTATTAGTAAAGTTAGAAGAAGAGGCACAAATAAGAGTTGTGGTAGAGGAAACATTAAGCCAAGCCATCAGATGCCTAAAATTCTGCATCTCATCATCTTGAGAGAAATTAGAGGGAGTAGATTGAGATGGAGCCTTTGAAAATTCAATCACATGTGCATGAGATCAGACATTATCCCATTAACTACACTACCTCAGACACGTGAAGGACGTTCAGTCAGTTTCTAACAGAACTCTCTAGTATGTTAGGTCTTCCCGCAATAATCACATTTTATGGTATCCTTAGTAACAGTATTACTCGTCTCAATAGGCTTGGGCAAGACTAAACTCAAGTTACACTGGGGGATAACATCCAATGCAAATTGTTCTTGAGGAGGAGCATAGATCATGACAATCTTCTGACTCTCCTCTTACGGTATATAAGCACAAGCCTCTTGTAAAGTGAGAAATGAAGTACGCCCAAAATTTGAACCCAAATATAATCATATTTAATATTAAGGTTCGCAAGAAAGTCATGCACTCATTCTTTCTCCACCATCTATTGAAATTTGATAGTATCATTAGTACCATCAGCCTGGAAACTCTGACAGTAGTCTAGCTCTGTCTGAAGTAGTCAACTCTGCATAGTAGACTACAAGGGTCTTATCATTGTCTTTTTGAGAATATGTATGAGCCACAGCAGTCCAAATCTTACGTGTTGTATCAAGTAACAAAAAAACCTCAACTAATAAAAGGTTGCATTAAATTAAGTAATCAAGACATAATTAAGGCATTTTTAGATGTCCATTGCTTCAAAGGGGAACTAGACTCATTAGGCTTCTTAGTCTCCCTAGTCAAATACCAATCCAAGAAGATTGCTTGGACGGATAGTAAATAAGGTCGTGATCAAGTCAAATAATTTATCTCGTCCAATTTCTCTAGACTAATATGGAGAGAGGGATTATTTGCAAGGGCCACTACCTCTAGTACTTCCTCCGGTACCAATAGAGGTCGCACTAACTTCCGACATATTCACACAATAGAATCACTACAAAAAACATACCAAAAAAAAAGAGGAAATTAGAAATTTTGTCACGAATAGAAAAACATACACCAAAACTCCTACAACTAGAAAATCATTTCAACAACACTCAAATACTTCTTGTGCAACAATTGGAAGGCAACAGGACCAGAACTGGTCACTATTGAACAACCGTTAGAGAAAGAACTGAAGAACAATCANACCAAAACTCCTACAACTAGAAAATCATTTCAACAACACTCAAATACTTCTTGTGCAACAATTGGAAGGCAATAGGACCAGAACTGGTCACTATTGAACAACCGTTAGAGAAAGAACTGAAGAACAATCACGTTTGAGGGTCAAAAAGGCAAAAAATTCCCCACAAATCCTCATGGGCATTGTAGAGCAGCTCTAATCATGTCACACAGAGTCAGATTGAGTAAAAAAAAACTTCAGATTGTTTGAAAATTGCAGATCTCACTTCCGAGCACCAAAAATCTAAAAAACATTTGAAAATTTGAAAGACCACTCAAAGGATTTCAAAATTTTCAAGAAAAATAACCATAATACTCGGGGGGGGGGGGGGAAGAAGGCAAATTTCAGACCATTTTTTCCTGAAAATTCTGACATCTTCTGTCACCCTGTTTGTCACGTGCTAACGAAATCACGTTAGACGGTGTCTGACAGTCATTGTTCACGTCTGAGTTATGATGAGTTTGGGACGTTCGATTTGGATCATGGCTTTGATACCAAGGTAAGTTATAAAATCGTTAAGGTTTTGAGAGAGAAGAACAGGAGAAAGAGAGAGGATTGTCAGAATAGAGTAGTGTGTTAGATTACACAACTACACCCAACATATATATAGTCATGAAGTACAAAGTACTAAATTACCCTTACTCTAGAAATAATGCATAACATAACATATGTTGATCATCCTTGTCAATGTCATTGATGTTTCAACTGATGTGTACAAGACATGATACAGCTAGCAATCTTGGTAGGATGAATAACTGCTCATTTTTATTTTTGCTAATAAAATGTTGTGATTTCAGATCTATGCTATATCGAGCTTTTGCACACGTCGTATCTGATACTCCACTGAGTGCTGTCTTGGATGAAGCTAAAAAAGTTAGCCCTCTATAGTCTCAAAACTTCCTAGTACATCTTTTTTGTCAGTCTGCTAGTTTGTTAATTTGGACTGTCTATTGAATAGTACAATAATGGACCTTTGCGGGACAGTCTATTGGTTAGTACAATAACGGACCTTTGATACTTTTGCAGCTAATCCCCACACTTCTGGAAGCCTTATCTATGCTGAGTGAGGATACTTTGAATAAAGATATAGTCTATAACTTGCTGCTAGTCTTATCTGGAATACTGATGGATAAGAATGGTAACAGTCGTGCTTTTATTTTTTTGGGAGTTCATCCCTTTCTTTACTTATTATGATGATTTATTGACTAGTTTGATTAGGTACATGTACATGTACAATTACATTTGCCATTTTATACAAGAATCGATATTACAAATTCTAGTCAGGAAGAGTTACTTTTATTTGTTTTTTATTCTAAATTACTGTCTAGTGGCTCTTATGGCTTTATATAACTTTGGTTTATGAGTCTTATGAATAGTTGTGGTATATGGTTTAGTTGCCCAGTTAAGTATAAGGATTGGCTTTTTGTTTTTTGGTTTTGTTTTTTCCTCTTCTCATGGGAGTGGCACTTGTTGGTTGCTGCTCGTGTGAGAGTTGACTCTATCAAATATAGGGATGACTCAGGTTGGGGAGAGTGCCCTTGGAAACTTCGGAGATATCTCCTGATAGTTCCTTCCTTGCAGTTGCCACCTAAGTCTTTCAGGGTGTGGGGCTCTTGAAGTTTGTATTTAACAGAGTGCATATGTCGGACAGTTTGGCATTTTTTGGAATACCAGATGTTCACTTCCATTTGACAATGTATAAGGATCTTCACATACATCAAAGCAAGAAGTTTTTCAAGTTTTGGAAAGTAAAAATCAATTGCCATACTCCTTCTGGCTAATATTGTTGCTGTGCGTTATTCTAGTTTTTATAGTGGTTTTCACTAGTTTCTCTCATACTGTCAAATCTTGTCTGCAGGACAAGAAGCTGTTGTGGAGAACGTGCATATTATCATCAGTCGCCTAATTGGGCTCATCTCCTACCCTCCAATGATGGTATGATATCATTCCTCAAAGAATTCTTTTGCTAGCAATGTGCCTTAAGGATGATATTGTTACAATATGACTTGAAAATATATATATTTCCTATGGGAGGAAAAGATGTCGTGGGCCTGGGAAGGCCCATCATCTTCTTTTGCTTTTCTCCTCTCCCCTTTTTTTAACCAACCCATGAAATTGTTTTCCTCGTCTGCTCCTTTTTCTTCTTCCTGCCCTTCGTTTTAATTAAGTGGGCCATTAAGGTGGTAGAATTAAAAATTGAATTACATGAGAGCAGTCAATTTGGGGAAGTAATGTCAAAGATTAGGTCTGTACCCCTCGGTCCCCTCCTAGCACATCCTATTAATGGGACAATGGGTTCGTGACCGACCCTTTGTGACCCTCATAAATATTAATGTCTCCATTTCTNTCGTGGGCCTGGGAAGGCCCATCATCTTCTTTTGCTTTTCTCCTCTCCCCTTTTTTTAACCAACCCAGGAAATTGTTTTCCTCGTCTGCTCCTTTTTCTTCTTCCTGCCCTTAGTTTTAATTAAGTGGGCCATTAAGGTGGTAGAATTAAAAATTGAATTACATGAGAGCAGTCAATTTGGGGAAGTAATGTCAAAGATTAGGTCTGTACCCCTCGGTCCCCTCCTAGCACATCCTATTAATGGGACAATGGGTTCGTGACCGACCCTTTGTGACCCTCATAAATATTAATGTCTCCATTTCTCCTTTCTGCAGAACTATGGATACCTGTCTCATTCTAGCATTCTATTATTACCTTTTATAGGGAAAATTATGTGGTCATTTATTTTAATACCTGGTAGACAAGGCAATTATGACACAATAAAATGCCCTGTTTATTGATTTGATGAAAGTTGCATGACACGCACAAGCACAAATATTTGCATGCATTGTTTTTTTTTTTTGGTCATATTTATAACTCATGACCAATTAGTACACTTGTCAAGCATACAACTATATATTAACCATGAACTTAGATAGTGTACTTCGACAAACAAAATCAATCTAATGCAACGCTTAACTGACTGATAGCTAGCAATTTCCCCATTATTCTGCAGTTATCTCTCAGTACTCATTTTGCAACTTCCTTATAGTACAAGGACTTTGATGGTGTTAACATGAATTGTGTAAATATGGTGTAGCTGCTCGTCGTTGTGCGGCTTGTGCCTAATTATATTATTGCCTTACCTAGCTGGTATCGAAATAATCATAGAAATTTTTTCCCAGAATTTAGATTATCAAAAAGCAAATGCTATGGCGTGGAATATATTTAATTTCTGGCATGGTATATATTTCCAATTTCTAGCTTTTGTTCTTTGGGGTATTGCAATAGTCCATTGCAGACATTTTAGACCTCTAATCTTTCCATCACTTCACGGTAACAGAAGTTTGAGACATAGTTCGAAGATACATCAAATATTCCAAAACCAGATGGAATGGTCTATTGAGAATGAAAACTAAGAAGTTCATTTGGTTCGGCTAACTTCCGTTTCCTTTGAACCGTATAATGTGTGAAATTCCCATGAAAACAGCTCTTTTTATACAAGCCTTCCAACACATTACATATTGTTGGATAATTAGGTTTCCCCCTTATCTCATCTATGACAAGTTAGGTAAATGAAATTTCAAGTGCAAAAAGAGTGAGCCTGGATCTAGCCCCCTTGCACAGTTTATGGTAATTGNATTTCCTTTGAACCGTATAATGTGTGAAATTCCCATGAAAACAGCTCTTTTTATACAAGCCTTCTCCAATACATTACATATTGTTGGATAATTAGGTTTCCCCCTTATCTCATCTATGACAAGTTAGGTAAATGAAATTTCAAGTGCAAAAAGAGTGAGCCTGGATCTAGCCCCCTTGCACAGTTTATGGTAATTGTCAACATCCACTGAAGTTTAAGTTGTGCAAGCAAGAAGTTTTAGCAATGCATGTTGACATGTCAAGGAATGCATATGGTTTGTTGATGCTGGTAGTTGGAACGGTTGGGGGTGCTTCTTTCCCGAGAGATTAGATTTTTATTAGAACGTGCGGAAAGGAAAGTACTGTACAACTGGAGTTATCTCTGAATTTTTAGCACACAGAAAATGCACTGAAAAAAATGGAAAACTTATTTAAAGAAGACCAGTTCCATCTCTAGTAACCGTTTACTACCAGCAGATATGTTCTATATATGTGTGTGTGCGCATGTGTGTTAGCCTGTTGGTGTTAATCCCATTGTTATTGAGTCCAAATATTGCTAAAATTGTAATACTTTGTTTTCAACAAGACTTGTGATTCCTTGAATGAAAAGCGGTCAAGTGGATTTTATTCTGTCCTAATTCTGATTTTTTTTTCGGTTTTGTCTCGTTTCACTTAACTCATTGATGTAAGCAATTTTCTAATTTTGAGGTAGAAAAGGAAATTTTAATTTTAATTGCAGCTTACAATTTTATTTGTGGGAAAATGTTTGTTGGCTTGTTCAGCTAATTCGAGAGACGGCAATTCAGTGTCTTGTTGCCATGTCTAGCCTCCCCCACGTGAAGATATATCCTTTGAGAACACAGGTTAGTTATTGTGTGGAATGTTGATTACTAACTGGTTAGTATTTCTTTCAATTTTTTATCCGTTGCTTATTTCTGAATTACTAATATTTTTACTCCCATCTGATGGCATTAGTAACTCGTGGATGGTTGTGGGAGTGCCCTGTATTTGCATTATATGAAGTTACTATTGGTCCTATCTGTGTGTCACCAAATAATCTCCCTCTCTGTGTTATACATACGTGTGTGTGTGTGTGAACTTTCTTTGTAAGTTTCTATTTTCATGTGTAGGTGCTGCAAGCTATATCAAAAGGTCTTGATGATCCGAAGAGGAGTGTTCGCCAAGAAGCTGTCAGATGTCGTCAAGCTTGGTTAGAGATTTAGATATATAATGCTGTTGCTTTGAATCAATCTGCATGTTTGAAGGTAAAACTCATATTTTGTTGTTCGGGTCTTGCTACTCAATAGGGCTTCAATGGCATCAAGAAGTCTTCATTTCTGAATGACATGGAAGGGTTCTTTGAAGTCTGACTAGNATGTTTGAAGGTAAAACTCATATTTTGTTGTTCGGGTCTTGCTACTCAATAGGGCTTCAATTGCATCAAGAAGTCTTCATTTCTGAATGACATGGAAGGGTTCTTTGAAGTCTGACTAGGTAAGATCATCTGAGTCGTGTTTATTGTTGTCAGCTTGTTCCTACCATTGTTCTTAGGGTAGGTTGGGTAGGTTGAGGGGTCAACCCACGATATGAAACATTCAACACAACCCGTGATTGCATTTTTGAATTTGTGTTGAGCTTAGGTTATACAATTTGGGTTAAACTTGGATTAAATCAGGTTTCTCATTAATCAACACCAAATTGAACAAAAATAGGGTTCAGTTTTGTGGTCAGCACCGAAATTCAACCTGAATTCTATAACTTTCATTTATNTGTGTTGAGCTTAGGTTATATAATTTGGGTTAAACTTGGATTAAATCAGGTTTCTCATTAATCAACACCAAATTGAACAAAAATAAGGTTCAGTTTTGTGGTCAGCACCGAAATTCAACCTGAATTCTATAACTTTCATTTATCAAAACTAATTAGAAAATAGAAAAACAAATTTCAATAGCTACCAAGTTCTGAAAGATTGGAGAACTTCACTGAGATAGTGTATATCACTGACCCTTTATTATTTATTAAACGAGTCATGAACCATTTGATTAGAGATTATAGGATCTTTTTTTATTCAGTTTCACTTCATTCATATTATTCTTTTATAAATAGACCCCTTTGATAACCCACTTTTCCTTGTTTAATGACTGGATGATGAACCTTCTAGTTTATTTCTGATAGCCAACTTCTTAGTCCCTAGGCTTTAGGGCAGCCAAAAACTTGCCCCTGTTGGAGTTTTCCATCTTGACATTTTATGTAAGTGAACTGAATGACCTCTTACAGCTTTAGCAAAACAACCAGCTAACTGGTGCTGCTTGTAAGGATCAAAATATCGTTTTGGTACATTGTTTCGAAAATGTTTCGTAAACATAATAGAAACGGATAAAAAAATGTAATTTTAAAACATTTCAAAACATTGGTCTAAATACATCTAAACATCTTGAAAAACTTCGAAATATTCTAAAACATTGATGAAAACATGTTGAAACATTTCAAAACAACTCAAAACATTTTGAAATATCTCGAAACATCTTGAAGGACTGGTATTTCGATTCAATCACTGATTCGTTTTGATCGCCTTGGAAAGAGAAACTTTTGGCCGTTTCGTCCATTTCGAAATGATAGTTTGATCCATGGCTGCATGATTAGCTGGCATAAGGTTCATTTCCAGAATGCCAACATGAATTCACTGGGAACCGGATTCTTAGTGATGTGATTTTGCCTCAAGATATGGGTCAAAACAACGCTAATCTTCCTGTCTTTCATTTTCCTCAATCATCCTCCTATTTGAATGCCAGAAAGGAAGAGAATGACAGCAGTTTACCCTGTCCTTGCTTATATCTGCCTTCCCTAAAATTGGCACGGGACATAACAAGGCAGACGGAGACGAGAAAAGGTACTTCATTGTTTCACACTCATTATGTAGGGATGTCGTACATTCTCAAGAATAATGCTTATATCCTGATTGCATGTTGACTGTGTATCTCATGCGTTCTGCTAGGGTTTGGGGATTCAACTATAATATCATCCACAAAGTGGTAGCCGAGCACAATGATCAACAGAAGTGTCAGTTTTTGACGCTGCCCAATATAAGAATGCCTTAATTAAGTGTTTGATCCAAACCATAGCTTCGACTTCACGGTCTGTATTAGGAAGGCCTTTTGACACACAAGGTTGCATGGGAAATAACACTTGGCCATGCCAATACGTCCTGTTAGTTGACAAGTTAAAATTATTGGTGTTGATAAAATGAATTTAGTTAAGCCGCACCTCTTTTACTTAGTCCTAATTAACAGGACAACCATTTAGTTTTTCTGAAAATACTGACACCCCTTGTCTGATAACAAAACTAATGAAACATGCTGTTTTACGCATTTGCCATTGATGAAAGTTAGTTTCTATGTTTTTTTCCCTGGAGTTATAGCTAAGTACAAAGCCATCATCTCTTTCTCTTACACCGACACCCGCCAACACCAACATATCGAACATCGGAGGCCCAGAACCTACCCAACAACCCACTTCATAAATCCTCATTTTAGCAGACACCCTAGTCCACCCCCACCCAACCCTGAAAGCCACCTAACCACCCACCATAGAAATTATATCACCCATTGATCACCCCAGAAATCCAACCTGAAACCCACCTCTCCCTTCCACCTAAAGCCCACCCAACCATGAAACCCTCCACTCAGCCCCAAAAAATCCTCATGAGCTGAATTACCCTCCTCCCAACTACCTCCAATTGGGGAGCACACCACCTTGATTCTAATTGCACATCCTTGTCATGAGCTTTGTGTCCACAACACCGAATCAAATACCCATTTCAATATCATAATGTAGTTTAGGGGAGGTAGAGGGTCAACCCGAGCATTGGCTGATGCCAATCAAGTTCCCATTTACGACCAAGTTTACTTAGTTGAGTTGGGCTAATGCCAATCGAAGTTTGACTTTGCATAGAGATTGAAATTTAGTAGCCGCCCATTTAGATTTTGTCAAAGAAGCCCGCGATTGAGGAGATCAAACCTTTCATTGAAATTACATATCCAAATCTGTTTTGTCCCAAGTAGCAAAGAAATTCAGTAGAATTTCTGAATTCCACTTTATTTCCATTAGTGAATTCAACATTGGGGTTCTGAGTGGAGTCTTCGCTGAAACCACCACATTTAAGCTGATTTTCTAATTAGTTGAAGTGAATGATTGATTTGGTGGTTGTTTTAGATTTGGATGGTGGTGGTGATGATAGTGATGGGTGGTGGGTTTGTCATGGCAGAAGGATAGTAGTGATGGGTGGTTGTACATGGGTCTATTGTGATTGTTTGGTGGAGGGATTGTCGTGGCTGTGACAGTGTGGAAGTGACACTGGAGAAAGAGGCGTGGTTGTGTCTTTTTGAATGTAGAAATTGTGGCTGGTGCTTTGCACAGGGTCGTGGTTGGCATTAGACTATGCAGAAGGGGGGGGGGGTTAGTTTTTCTGAAAATACAAGTCATATACTGTGTTATTTTCAATATCTGAGGGGGTCTTCTTGTTTGGACAAATGTTGATGTCTAAACAAGAAGAGAGTATAGTGACATTTAAAAAAAATCAAGGGATTATCTTGAATATAAAGCATTCTACAAGGCAAATGCTTGTATTTTTCCCAATGAAATTCCTTAAGGCACAAATTAGGAAGGATTCTGAATTGTAAAATTTTGAGATATTTGACTTAAAAGTGGTAAAGATAAAATGAGTCGCATTATGTAGGTCCTTGTTTAGAATCGTATAAGCACTTCATATTGTCCCCAAAATTTTGGAGGAAGGGGGGATAAGATTCCCGCTGGTGTTGTAATCTCTTGAGGAATGTTGAAACTTACACTGACCAGTCTTTGGCCTGGATGACTAATGATCATAGTCAGTGAATGTTGTAGGAGGCCCAAGCAGCAACAATGTCTTTTTAATTAGGAAATGTTCAGACAAACTTGCCAAGAGATGACGCAAATAGAACTATAGTATATGACCGTTTACTTTTCCACCTCTAGATGCGGTGTTAATCGCTCCAGCACTAGTGCTTTTCTTCTTGTCCTCCTGTTGAATTTTGTAAATTCAGATCTGGGCATCTTTATGAGGTCCTATGCTGGACATGCATGCACATTCAGAGGATAAGCTCTTGGCTTAACATTGTTGCTCATGTCCATTTACTTGGTCAAAATATCCTCTTGTACTGCTAATTACTCACCTCATTTCGTGTCTTAGAAAGGGAAACAAGAAAAAGGAGGTGCTAGGTTGTTGGGTTGGTTGTTTTGTTCTGTGGTTAGAAAGTATTGTAAAATACAAGTATTTGCTTTTTGTGGGGATAATTTTCTGTTTTGCAATAAAGACATCTACAATAAGAGGTACCCCTTTATAAAATCGTTACAGGCAATAATAGAATAGTAAGAAGTTGACATTTTTGTTGTGAACCTCAGTTCAAAGATGTGAACCATATGGTGTGTAATATTATTTGTTGTATGATGTCACCATGNTCCCTTTATAAAATCGTTACAGGCAATAATAGAATAGTAAGAAGTTGACATTTTTGTTGTGAACCTCGGTTCAAAGATGTGAACCATATGGTGTGTAATATTATTTGTTGTATGATGTCACCATGCATATTTTGATTCAGGAAATCTATGAAATGGGTTATAGTTTCTCTAAACTTTTCTACTTGTATGACTAGGGGAGCCGATTTGCAGCGTAGCATCAGTTGCTTGTGCACAAAGATGGTGATTCACTAGATTGGCTTTATGAGGCTTGGCCGTCTGACTTACCATATACAGCAATCATCTCAGGGATTTAATTATTGATGGTGTAGATATGTACATGCCACCTGAAAATTTAGAGATTAATCTTATGCGCCAAGGTGTGGAATAGCTGTTTAAAATTTGTGTAAGATTTTTATTTTTTTATTTAGATTTTTACCGTTTGTTCTTTCTTCTTCACCTGTAAGATGGTTGCAACTTGCAAGTGTATAAAGCATGTTTTCTTCTACTATGAAAAACGATGTGTAGCAAACTGGTGATTAAATCTTCTCGTGTGTGTAGAATATGGTATTCAAGATTAAATTGATTTTACTTTGTATTTTGTGTTATCTCTTCCTTTTGTGTGTGTGTGTGTGTGAGAGAGAGAGAGAGATCACGATGTGTAAAAGCAAAGGAGAAAATGGTTTGGTGTGAGAAGGTAAAAAAGATTGAAGGAGATCTGAAATCGCAAAAGTTGAGTTAGCTAAACACCGGAGGTCTGATGGGTTTTTTTTTTTTTTTGGGAGCCCCGGGATGGGGGGGGGGTGGGGTTGGTTGACGTTCATGTCATACAAATCTAGACTTAGAAGCAGTGTTATCAGAATCAGATCAGTCGGTTTGACCAGTTGTACTGTGAATTGCGTCTGGTTCTTGAATTGGACTGCCTAGGTAATTAAATCGGATGATTTTGTCAAATCGGTCAGTTCTTCTGCCATTTCTATAAAATGCCTAAAATTTTTAATTTTGTCCTAAATTCAGTCGGTCGCTTTTTTCTCCACCCCATTTCTTCCTCTCTTTCTACAGCCCATCCGATCGTTGCCTCCGGTCCATCCGATCTCAACACCCACTGAAATCTCTATCTATTCTCTTCGCTTGAGTCTTCTTTCTGTCTATGGTTTGTCTGGGTGTACGTTGTTGGCTTCTTGTTGCGCGAACAAACATCATCTTTGGGGAGTCGCGAAGAGGAGGTTGATCGGTTTCAACCTATCTTCACTATTCTTGTGCTCCTGTCTTCGATGTCCAATAGTGATCGGTTTCATGAGGAGGTGGTTTCATTGTTTCATGAGCTGCTGTGTGGATTGTTAATATTCTATTAGAGTTTATAAATTGTTTAAGAAAAGAAGTGATTTGTAATTTTTTTTGTGTTCTTAATTTCTTATTTGATCCATTATAGCATAAAAATATTTTTTTTGTGCCTATTCACAATTTTTAATATATTCATCATTATTAATAATATTTATTTATTTATTTTATTATACAACCGGTCCGACCAGTTAATCCAACGATTAAACCAGTAAATTATTGACCCAATTTCTTTGTCGATTCGATGTCTGGTTCAATTTTAATAACTATACTTGAAAGGCGACTCAACTTTCATACATTGTTGGGAAATTTGTATGACATTGCCCATGAATTGACATTTTCCTAAACTAGCTTTAACAGGATCGTGAACTCCAATAAATTTAAGCAACCAAAAGCTGAAGGGGGTTGAGGCTTTCTTGCTCAAGTGTTCTTACCATGGCCAGGCTATCACATGCAGCTCTAAAGTACCAGGTCAAGCAACATGGACTTTTTCAATAGAAGAGTCTATCATACAGGGAAAGCAACATGACTGTTGATGGTATAGGCAAATATTATCTAACTAAAAGAGAAGAAAAATACAGAAATATTATTATGGATTTTTTTAAAAAAACCTCCCCATATTTTATTTTTTTGGTAATCTAAATACAAGACATAAATTCTCAAATAAACTAGAAAAAACAGAATTTGTATAGGTCCATCCTTTTTCTCACCCCAACGTTGTCCCCCGAAAAAAGAAAAAAAAGAACTTTTTTCCTTCTGTCCTATATGTTCAATATTTGCATCATCTTCAAATCTCTCAGTGCCTCGATTGTTCGACTTTTGAGTGTCCAATGTATAATACGCCTCTTCTGAAAGCCTCCACATCTTCAGCGATCAATCAGACAAGTCATATTCAGCTCCACTAGATTGACCCATGTCGGTCTCTTGCACAACCTTCCGTAATTGGCCAAGGCCAACATCCACGTCCGTCCTTTGTCTCTTCGAATTTAAAGTAGTCCCCTTGGCACCAGAGTAATCCTGCAAGCACAAAAATTTAGACCATCATAAGGCTCTAAGGGATAAGTGTTAACAAGAAATAAAAACAAAGGGGGCCAAAAAATGGCCTCCAATTCAGCACATTGGAGAGTTTTTTAGCGATCGGAAAGTCCTACCCCTGATTCCTTCAATTCTACTGCAGACACAACTGATCTCCGCCTTACAGTCACCCTTGAAGGTACAGGAAAATGTTCAATTTCTTCACTGGATTTTCCTTCTTTGGCTCTCTTTTTCCTCAAAACGAGCTTTGTTGGAAGAGGCTGTATCATTGTGGGAATTAGTGAAAAGACACTGATTAAACCAAACGCATGCACACACTGCACACAAAAATTACCGCATAGTGGGCAGCTGATTCTCCAAATGCCACGAAGTATGTTGTGGGATCATCTGCAACANAAAATTACCGCGTAGTGGGCAGCTGATTCTCCAAATGCCACGAAGTATGTTGTGGGATCATCTGCAACATCACCCCGTACCTGTTGATGCATCAATAAGCAATAATTCAAGCAGCAATTACAATCAAACAAGCTTTGAATTCATCATTACAACAATTTTTGATACATACATCCCAGTGGTACTCCCGAACCCATGAAAACGAGACATCTTCACTTTCATCGTACATATCCTTTGATATCTGGTCCTATAATAATAAACAGAAGTATACAACATATAATCAACTATTTAGCTTCAATTTGACAAATAAGGAGCCAGCAGTTTCAAAACTGTGACAAAGGCAAGTCTACCTCATCAAGTGAAGGAACCATATACGCCAAAAATTTATCTGGTTTTCCTGAGTCTGAGCCGGTTGCTACAAAACTTTTCATAATGGCCTGCAGCAGAACATGACGATACAGTAAACAAGAAAAAAGCAAATAAACATCAATCGCATTTCAGTTCCAGCCTATGTACTCCAGAAAATATCCAGAGCTGCAAAAGCATATCTGTCAACCAGAGGTATGATATTCTTGAACCTCGATAGTTACTTGAATTGACATTTCATCCAAACCGGGACACAACTTTTAGAACAAAACTCATCAAAGACATGTTGGCCAAGATTGGAACACAACTATGCTGGCAAATGCCACGCATTGGGAAAAAGGGTTATAACCCTAATTTATCGACGATATACTTAGGCTAGATAGACCAAAACTATGCTGGCAAATGCCATAACAATTGTCACAAACAGTAATACTCTTCGAGATTCAAGAGTAGAAATAACAAGAAAATTCCCCATTTCTTTTGATAGGACACCACACAATAAGTTCCAAAGCAGAAGAATAAGTACAAGGATGACATGGTGAAGAATCCTTCCTAAACCAACAAGCATTCACAAGCCAGGAGCAGAGTGAAAAAAATATTGTTGTAAAGCAAATTAGCCAACCGGTCCAATACTATGAAGCAGTCACTGGAACATCCATTTCTTAATATACTTACATGCAAACCTTCACTCATTAATATATGANTAAGTACAAGGATGACATGGTGAAGAATCCTTCCTAAACCAACAAGCATTCACAAGCCAGGAGCAGAATGAAAAAAATATTGTTGTAAAGCAAATTAGCCAACCGGTCCAATACTATGAAGCAGTCACTGGAACATCCATTTCTTAATATACTTACATGCAAACCTTCACTCATTAATATATGATGTTTGTTGCTCATCCAAAAAAAAAAAGTACCTATATGCAAACAATGATCCACTCATATACAGCAAGGGTACAGGGAAGCAGGAGATGCAATTGAGCATGAGAATGTTGTCAGATTTAAGCTCCAAAAACAGAGCTGAATTACACAAGTATCAGCCATAATCAGTTTCAAACTTCTTTCCATACAAGACTTATGTCTTGTCCTCCCCCTACCCCTACCACAACCCAAAAAGCAAAGAAAAACTTATTATTTTTATTTGTTCTAAGAAAAAATACAGCATATTGCTTTTAGAGAAGGATGCATATGATGCAAATGCATTTGTTAAATCACAACAAAACATTTTGCACTACACTAGNCTTTTTATTTGTTCTAAGAAAAAATACAGCATATTGCTTTTAGAGAAGGGTGCATATGATGCAAATGCATTTGTTAAATCACAACAAAACATTTTGCACTACACTAGAGAAAAAAATGACTGGTTTCCCTATTTTGTGGAAGTTTCCAAAGGTAAGAACAAAGTCCCTTTTTCCAACATTTTCACACATCATGAGTATCAATAACGAATTACCACATATCTGAGACTAAGAACAACAGAAAAGGTGTCACACAGGAGTATACTCGGAAATACCAAACAAACAACCCACCCTTAGTGGACATAGATTCTCACCTACAAATTTGTGCAAGCAGATACACCAAAACTAATGGGGAAATTAAAATCTAGAGACTAGCAAAGAGTGCTCTCCATCGTTCTTCTGTTTTTCCTATTACCATCTTTGACTAATAAGGCATACTTTACAATTGTGTTTTAGCACCTGCTAATCATCTATTTGCAAGGGTAAACCAAGAGATGGTGGACCAGCAAAGTACCCACATCTGTGCTTACACGTGAGCCAGAATTTCACCACATCAATGCAAAATAAACCCCACATAGATCTTACCTGAGATTCGTGGGCATCACGAACAGATTTTTCCAACTTGCTGTAGGTTTCTGAATCAGCTGTAGGAGCACTATCAAAGGTTGCAACGACAAACAGCTCATTGTACCTGGTATAGCATCATCATCTGCAAATTAGCCACAGCTTGACCAGAAAATTATGCAACATCACCATCAGAAAAGAAACTTCAAATGCAGAATAAAATAAATTGGTTCGGCGGGATTGGAGGAAAAATGGAAAGAATGAAAATAAGAGTGATACACTTTTTATATGCAGAGGAAAGAAACCTTCCATCCCTCCATTGTGTTTGGTAAGAGGGATTGATTATTAAAGGTAAATAACCTACATTTCAACACATATAACAAACTTTCCTTCCACTTTTCCACTCAATTTTGTAGGGATAGATTTTGGTAAGTTAGAAGGAAGACTAATCCCTCCACGTTTTCTTCTTTCCTCTTTTCCTTTCTAATCAAACATGATGTTTTATCCACATTTGACGAAACGGAAGGTTACCATAGTAGATACGTTTGCATCTGTATTTGATTTTCAACAAACCTTCTACTTACATATTCAGCAATTCACCCTATACACTTAGATCCATAGATATACCTAGCTTGTTTTAGCATAATAATTTGCAAGAAACTACTACCCATGTAAGAAGACCCATTTTGCAAATCTACCATAAATCTTCTTAATGGAAATAGTCTATGTCACATCATAAACAATTAAACCAGATAATAATAAAAGATACAAAGCATAAGCATCCACATTATTTTCAAACGGCTTTAAGTTTTGACCGAGAGACTTTGAATTGCTTAAAAAGCTTCCTCCCATTCAGGAAACGCCACTCGCATCATGCACAATGCAGGTGATCTTGTTAGAATCCAATGTTCATCGCTTGCGGTCTAGACGACTGGGAGAGCTTAAAATTAACTTTTGTTTCTTTTCTAATCATCTCGACTGTATTGGCTTCTTGAACATCAAAGTGTTTTGCAAGGATATCATGCGTGTGTGTGTGTGTGTGTGAGAGAGAGAGAGAGAGAGAGAGAGACATGGAACCCCTTGTTGCCATATCATCCAAGTACCAATGTTTCCATCATATGTTTCATGGCACTTGATGACAAAGTACACATAAAGAAATGAAAAACATAAGCACATACCGATCAAAATCAGGTAATAGTGGCAGAATCTCAACAGGTTGTAATTTACTATTGGTTGCATGAATAGGTCGTGACTTGCATGCCTCAAATGAAGCCTCGATGTTTTGGATTGTCCTTTCCCTGGAACAAAATGCGTTCTATTAAAACAAAAGATGTCTAACATGTACATATCCTGTCTATATTTGAGTAACACGGAGAGAATGGACCATAACAGACCTACTGTTGATGTTCTCCAATATGTTGTGGCCTCCCCGTGTTTCACGCAATTCTTTTGCTTGTTTTTCTGTCAGAGACTGTGAATGGAAGTGCAATGACTTAGCTTTCAGCAAACTCATAAAGAAAACAACCTTTGATTCATATTTACCTGTCTTGTTGCTTCCATGCTAAGAGGAGAAATATACTGTGTTTTGACCAGCCAAGAAACACCTTTATCAGTGGGCCTGTCCTTTCTTTTTAAGCCATCTTTTTTAATTGGGGTTACAACATCATCATCACGCAACAAGTCTTCGTCTTCTGGATGAAGGGTTAACTTTTCACCCTTAGGAGGACTAGTTAAGGAAAGGAGGAGAAAATTAGAGCTGTTTTGTTATAAGAAGCTACCGAATAATTTCACAAAAAAAAATTTGAAAAAAAGGGAAAAGAAAAGGCTATCAGGAAAATACTTGCATAACCTGAGATCAAGTAGGTAATAGCAAAAAATGAGAAGAAAATTAGAGTTGTACATCTATTAGAATCTGCAGGATTAATTTAAAGAGGAACCCAAAGCAAAGCAAGAGGCTATTAATATAATACTTGTATACGCTGAGATCAAGTAGGTCAAGTGGTATCCCAAGATCTGGCTCGACATATAATTGAGGCTTGTGGACTTTCTCCAATGATGTTATTGCATACTTTGTGAATCTGCAAGTATCATACACAAAACATTAAAACAATGGAAGAAGAACCTAGAAGTTTAAAAAAACTAAGAAAACCAGAGCATAAATTTAAAATTTACATTTCTGTAACTTGTGGGACAAAAACCATTTCAAATTATTTCAATTCTTTTACCTATAAAAACATCAAATATGTTTCATGCAATATGTGTCAAGTTAAAAAAATAGTCACATTAGCTTCCTTTATATTGAGAATGTCAGCTGCCTCAATAAAATGAGAAGTATAAAGCTTGAAATATGAACAGATGCAATGAAATGAGTGAAAAATGTCCAAGGCTATTTCTTCCCAAATGAACCACAAAGTTTAGCTGCAACAAACAAAACCCGAATAAGCAGCTCTAATCAGAATAATTTTCCCTCCAATTTGCAAATCAAACAAATCTAACCCAGTCACATTCACCGAGTTCAACATTCTCGAACCGAGAAATTCCTAACAGAAAATTCCAACTGAATATATACCCAATCTTCAACTTCTCAAAGAATTCTCCCATTTCACAGCTTGCATCACCCGCTATGGTATCAAAATTCGATTTAAAACAGCAGGCAGAAGCGAAAAGGACAACATAGCACATAATGTGGATATGAAGGCAACTGAAGCAGGTAACTCCAGCACTAAGGCTATAAGTCATCCAGCTTAGTATATGTCAAAAATCACTTCAGAACACACCAAGGTATTATCTAGAAATATATAAAATAATTCCTAATCTGTTTATCGGTCTACTAATTAAAGCATGGTCTAAAAATCTTAGTGCCCCGGCTCGTGGTAAATCAGATGTCCTTCAGAGGAAAGTAATGGAGTATTCAGATGAAAAGAATGGAAAAGAGAAAAAGGTTTTCAGATGATTAAATTGATGAGTGGCAGCAGACAACAGACCTCAACAGTTGTAAATCTTGTGGTGGAGCTACAGGTGTGCCATGCGTGGAGGTGGTGCTATGGCAGAAAAGAGATGGTCACAGCCGGAAGAGTGGTTTTGATGCTGCGTAAGAGAGTATTGTAGTCGAATAGTTGCACAGAGCTGAGGTGGGCAATATGTGGGGTTGTTAACCAAAACAAGTAGCCAGGGACTCGGCTCGTTTTGGCTCGTTCAAGCACATTCATTCTCTAATAGTAGCTGAATCTGAACAATTTTTCAAGTTTGTTTCGTATTTGAACCATGCTTAGCTATTCGCGAGCCGACCTTCTATCATTCATATTTCTGTTGTTGACATCTACCACTGATACAAAACACATTCACTCCAGACAGAATTTTTCCAAACTCTGCCTCCTCTTTTTCTTGCTCTCCCCCAACAAAGCCTTCCCATCCACGTGACATCTATAGCACGGTTTAAAGTATTGGCTGATGCGAATACGAGTCAACCAAGTCGTCTCCCAGTCAATCTTGCTTCGTCAAGCTATTATCACAAAATCAGACAACACCATTCTGCGACATTGCGATATTGACCTGAATCTCTCACAATGTTTAACTTCTTTTTTAAGGTCGTATCGCCCGATACCACGCCGCGATCGATGTGTCCCAAAACTCTCTGAATTGATGGCTAATACCGCATCCTTGAATTATGGTCCACATTCAACAGAGAATGGGTAAGAAAGAATATTTTCGAACATAATACCTTCCGGTCAAACTGGTTCAGACCGCTAGACATGCACAATATTTTCTCGAAATATCCCAACTAAAGTAGCATCTCATCAACCACAAAATGTTGTGGCATGCAGAATAAGAAAGAGAATCGGAAACACACCTACCTATGGAACATAAGGCTTCTTCAAGTCGCTCACCAAAAAACAAAATAAGTAGTTATGGAACATGGAACGTTTTTTCGGATTATACAATCAATCACACAAACATGCTAACTTAGTCCACACAAACAATTCATTTAGCCAACATTATATGCAAAATTCTCTTGTTCATAAAAAAGGACAACTTATTACCCAACAAACAGCTTTTGCTTGGAAAGTAGAATGTCACATTTTTAATTTGATTATATATCATCTCAATAAAATTTTTGAAAATGATCTAGGGATTATACTTGGCAAACACAAGAAGGCTCCATATCGGTGCAAGGTTGTTTATGAGTATTATTTGGCAAGAGAAATGCATTTGCTTGCTAAATTGGCATTTACAAAGTATGATTATTCACATGAAGGCTGCCAGCCAGTTGAGGAATGTAGGGTCTTATGACAAGATGGCATGCGGAGTTATGAAGATGGAATCAGACTGGCTAAACTCCTTGGTGCATAAAATTTTCTTTACGGGTCCAAGAGATCTTAACAAATTAAGAACTTGAAAAAACAATAGGTAAAGGAGTTCTTCCCAAAACAATTCAAAGCATAACATATGCGGAAGCTTTTCCTTACGGGTCCAAGAGATCTTGACAAATTATAAACTCGAAAAAACAATAGGTAAAGCAGTTCTTCCCAAAACAATTCAAAACAAAACATACGCGGAGGCTTTTCTTTATGGGTCCAAGTAATCTTGACATATTAAAAACTTAAAAAAAAAAATAGGTAAAAGAGTTCTTCCCAAAACAATTCAAAACATAACATGTGCGGAAGCTTTTCCTTACGGGTCCAAGAGATCTTGACAAATTATAAACTCGAAAAAACAATAGGTAAAGCAGTTCTTCCCAAAACAATTCAAAACAAAACAAACGCGGAGGCTTTTCTTTATGGGTCCAAGTAATCTTGACATATTAAAAACTTAAAAAAAAAAAATAGGTAAAAGAGTTCTTCCCAAAACAATTCAAAACATAACATGTGGAGCCTCTCTCTCTCACACACACATACACACACAAAATGCATGTCACTACAGATCGTCTATCTTCAAACCTTACAAGGAAACTCAATTGAACTTCTAAATAGAAGTAGTTATGTGATGCGTTCAAAAATGGAAACATCTAAAATAGTTCAGTGCCTTTTGTGTATTATTATCTTTGCCTTAATCTGATATAACATTTCCAGTCAAAAAACTAAAATTGACATTCCACGACAGTCACCAATTCTGAACACGCGATTTGGATTGCAATGCACTAATAAGGGAGCGATGTTTGGTAATTTTGATCTAATATTTGAATTGGTGACGAAAGAGATCACTAGAGATTTCCAAACATCCAACCAAAATCAACCATCAACTTAAATCTCTAAATCCCTTACAATCAATCAAGTAACAGGGGACCGACATTTGGTAACTTTGAGCTAATATTTAAATGTGATCACGTCAAGAAATAGATCACTTGAGATTTTAAAAAATCTAACCAAAATCAACTATCAACCTAAATCCCTAACTTAACAATATATGAAGCGCTACTAATATATTTATGCATTCTAACGACACAGCACCCNATTTGGTAACTTTGAGCTAATATTTAAATGTGATCACGTCAGGAAATAGATCACTTGAGATTTTAAAAAATCTAACCAAAATCAACTATCAACCTAAATCCCTAGCTTAACAATATATGAAGCGCTACTAATATATTTATGCATTCTAACGACACAGCACCCAAGAAAAATTACTCTCTTCCACACCCTATGAAGCACATATACTTCATTAAGGTTGATGTATCCGTATCGAATACGATATTCGTCGAAGACTCGAGAATATATCTCAGATACACACCAAATCAAATAATAACATATATGAATAATTCGCGGATACTTCTATATGCAGAAAAATGTGTAAGTTTTTGTTTTAATCTTTACCCCTTCCTTTTAATTTCACATACAATACAATATATCAACAAAGATCCATATGACTTTGAAGACACATGGGTATTTTCCAAGTATTATACATAATTACATGTCCAATGAGTAGAAATGATTGATTATTCTGTAATTTTAGCAACAAATACTTTTAAGCAAAGTTAAATGTTGGTTATTATTTCTTTAATTAATTATGCTCATTTTATAAATATACCATAGTAAGACGATAGGTAACTTTTTAAAATAAAAAATTATTAATGTTGTTTATAATTGTTAAAGAATCACTAAAAACTATAGCTATCAAATCATTATATAATAGTACAAATATAAAATAAATATATTTATAGACGTATTTTAGTTGTACTCATATCCTATTTTTTAAAGTTTTGTCAGATCACTATATCTGTATCGTATTGTACGCATATCTCGTATCCGTGTTTCCTAACCCACATCAAATTAACCACTTCTTTGGAGGAAAAACTAGCATTGTCAATGTATTATGTCGTGTTGTGTCTCTAAGTCGTGTAACTCATGTTGTGTGAATCCATGCCCCCCTCATTTACAACGGTGCATAGTCGATTCAAATCGTGGTTAGTCAGGTTTACGTCAACCCATTTATCAAGAAAAATAGTGCAATCATTTATGACCAACAACTAAACACACACATGCTAACTTCATGTTAAATTTATGTTGTACTAGCGAGTCATATTAGAATTGTCAACCCAATAGACAACACAATTTAAGAAAAGGACACCTCGACTTTTCACCACTATTACCGCATTTACCTCTCCAAAATAGGAAAAATATCTCTTTTATACATGAATGGTATAAAATATTACATAGTTGAGATTCTATGGGAACAAACATCTTTAATTCTTGATATTTAACACATATCTTGGGATAAGCAAAAAGAGAAAGTAATTCATTTATTGTGGGATAAAGGAACAATTCCTTACAATTAGATCAAAATTTACAAAAAAAAATCAACTTTAGAACCAAAATAATATGAAGTTTGTGTTTTCCCGTGGGAACAATGAAATAGTCCGCACAATATCAGCCGATATGTTCAAAATACTAGATAAAAGCTTCAAAAAACTTTTAAAAAATCATGAAAAATTTTTAAAAATAAAAATATCATTATTCATGCATCATATGTCTACATTATATCCAAAAACACATTAAACATAATTAAATTGAAACTTAAGGGCGTTATCGAAAATAATTATCATTTTCAATGTTCAATTTAAGCATTTAAGAACATGCTTATATTTTGACATTTAGTTAGTATTTTGGGCTTAAAAAAATTTGATTTGCTTATTATTTAATGGTCTATAAAAGAGTAAATCTTACCTCAAGTAAACTTGGGTAAAAGTGTACCCAAAAATTATTACCTACAAATAAAATAAATTAATACTACTAAAAGTATATAAAGAAGAAAAAAAAATATGCCTATTTTTTACTCGTTGGGGGGCATACCTACAAAAGTGTACCCAAAAATCATCATCCATATAAAATGATTTAACCTAACTAAAAGAATATAAAGAAATAAAAAGAAAACAAAAAAAAATCTGCTAATTCCTAGAAAACAAATTTTTTAAGATCCAAAAACCATTACCCATATAAAATAATTTAATCTAACTAAAAGAAGATAAATAAATAAAATGAAAAAAAAAAATTCAAAAATGTAGAGTCTTTTAGGACTTAACTTCCCAAAGACGCTTCATGCGTCTGCGTATCAATCCACTGAGTGAGAGAAGAAGAAGAATCTGAGAGAAGACAAACCAACAAAGGAAACTGGGAAGATGGGCGACAAAGCCACCAATGCCAGAGCTTCTCCAATTTGTTTCGCCACCGATGCGGAGCTTCTCCAACATATTTCTGTAAAGCTCCTGGGCACGACCGGTTCGTAGTTAATAATGAGCTTCTCTTTTTTGTTTGACTTTTCTGCTGCTACTTTGGGTTTTTTCTCAACTGGTGAGAGCTTTTACAAAGGTGGGTCTTGGAATCCTTCACCCCTTCTCTTTTGCTTTGGATTTTTTCTCTTTTTCTGGAATTTTGGGGATTTTACACAAGATTTGATCATACCGGCCGATTCCGATTTGAATCTTCTGAGTTGAGTCCAACTTATGCCAATATGTCCAAGTTTTGGCAAGATAACATCGATATAGGTCGGACTCGCGATTTTTGCGTTTCGAATAGCATTATCGTATCAGAAGTGGCCGAGTTGTATCAAACTCGGCCAATACCTAGAACCCTAGAGACAGAGCAACTGTTACTAAGCATCCTCAATTCCAAGTAAATGTTTCATCCTCTATTATTTTTTATCTTGTTTATTCTTTTGGAGTGGCTGGGATTCATTTGACCTTTATCTATTTGCAATCTCTGCTTTCATTTTGATTCGTAGTTGGCACTCCTAACCATTGGTTCCACGATGACACCCTTCGAATGTTTGGAGTCAACTGATTAATACACACTTGATACCACTTCCCTGATGGGTTAGTGTTATCTACTTTGAAGGTGGTATAAGGACACTAGTATATTGTTTAATATACTGTCTGCTGGCAACTGAGACACAAGGTAAGTAGCCGATAGGTTATGTGCATCCTATTTGCTCAGTTTCGCCAGCCATTAAAACAGGGCCATACCATCTCATTAAACAGATAACATTTTCGAAACAGTCATCGGAAAATGTATTGATTCAATAGCATTCAAAAGATTGCCAACCACAAGAAACGAACATTAGAGCACTGAAAAGAAAATGATAACAACCACATGCATGCACCATGAGACCCTTCATTGATTCTTTGATATGCGTTGCATTAAATAGCTGTACTCATGTGAGAGCATGAAGGTGGTGGCAGATGTGTATTTGAGTACATGTATGCGTAAGTTAGTTGATCATCCAGCCGCTACAAACAAATCTCAGGATAAGATTGCATACCGATCTTTGTCTCTCCTTAAAGACAAAAGCTTTGGCTGTGCTGTTGGATCTGGTAGTTCATTCCGAAATCTTCAAAGAGCAAAAAAGTACAAAATAAACATTCAGTAATAAGAAATAGAGAAACAGCCACTCAAGTGTTGTTGACAGTATGGAGTATGACAGCCATTGCAGGAAGAGAAAGGAACATATTTACAACTACCAAAATCAATATGGTAACAAAATAAACAGCTGGTGGCACGAAGTCACATGTTTAAGTTAAAAAAAGAAAGTGAATTGGACACAATCAAAACGAGGCATGTTTAAAGATTCGTACAAGAAGGCCAAAAAAAAAAAAACAAACAAACAAATCTACCCCACAACTCATCATCAAGGCATGCATTCATCAAGAACACATAAAAATCTAAATCAGAGAAATAGAAAATCTATGATTTCCATTTTTATAGAAATTCTAACCAGCTTAAGAGAACAAACATATAAATGCATGGATTTAATAAAACTAAATTAAAAAATTAAATAGATGCAAGGTAATTAAAAGAAATATGACATAAATAAGGTTCCTAAACCCTTAATAGTATGTTGCATAGCCTTCAAAGAAAATTTAAAGAAAAAAAAAGGCTGTAAAATCATGTAATTTCCAACTCTTCATGAGCAAGTTGATCATAAATGATGCATCTGAGATTATGAATGTAAAAAATATCCCGATATAACCAAGGCTTTTAGCCCAAGTTATTATGACAAATTTTCTCAGTAATCCCAACAGAGCACAAACCCCAGATTTGATGAAAGGAAATTGCTGTGGAAATAAATAAATGAACTTCTGAAAATGTACCTCCAACAAACCAATACACACCATATCAGCAATAAGTACTACTCTGTCAACACAACCTCACCAAGCGCCCTTCACTAGAAGAACCTAGAAACCACATAAATACATTCCCTTCCTCTCCAATAAAAATCCATGACAGGAAAGGTTAGCACGAATTTAACAACTTTCATTTGGGCCGCCTTTAGTTCACAATCTAATGATTGAAACATTAAAACCTATTCAAGAGGACATGCTTCAATAAGTAAATGCTACGTGTATATAGCATATAACATCGCCTCAAACAGCTGTCACTCAAGATGATTTCCTACCCTAAGAAAGCTCAACAATACTTTTCAAATACTAGCATCCACCAAATGTCATTCAAACTAATACTATTCTCATCGGGAAAAAAAAAACTAAAACTAACACTCTTCACCAAATATAGTCAATCAGCAAAATATGTGTGAACCTCACTTTTCTATAACATCTTATGAACCTTATCTCTAATACCAATATATCAAGCCTTTCTAACAGAGCAAACATCATGTTGGACACAATTTCTAACAGACCAAAACACTCAAGTCCTGCCACAATTCAACAGAGATACTAGCTGTGAGAGAGCTCCTGTGACATGACACGAAAATGTTAAAAGGTAACTTCTAATATTATCAAACAACACACATTGCAAAACACAAATCCGAATGGTAGGCCTACAACCACCTTGGAAAGACGCTTCTATCCCTCTCTAGGTACTCCAAATGGATAACAAGCATTACACATTCCTTCCCCAGGAACATACTAAACAGTACAAGCATTTAACGAGCGCCACTTAACAACACAAAGTTGAACCAAAGCAAATGCATGTAATTCATCTATACACTATATCCATGTTGCCAATCAACAAAACTGGTAATTTTTCTCTAAAACACAACAGATAAACATAATTTGGGGTCATGGCATACTCACTTCAACTTGCAAAGGAATGTTGTAGGCTTCTTCAAACGGTTTTCGATCCTCTCACCACTCAGCAATGGAGCAGTCCTCCTCTCACCCATGTGTGATCCAATAATCGACCCGTGCCCCTTCATTCCGGAAGACAACATTTGGGTCTTTTGCAGCACTTTGTTCTGGGAGTCCTTCAATTGGTGCCTGTGTTTCTCCTCTTGCCTTTGCTTCTCTAATTCTCTCTTCTTTCGCAACCTCCTCTCTTCCTCAGTCTCAATCCTTCCAGAAGTCCCATTTGGTTTCTTTACTGGAACCGGAGGAACAGAAGACTTATGCTCCTTATGAGAGGGAACCCCTTGGTTAGAGCGGCCTGGTTCGCGCCAACCAGAACCCATTCTATCCTTGGATTCCCCTGTCTCACCAGCTGCCCTACTTTCCTTGCTTCGGTTTGCTGCAGGGATGGAAGAAGGTGGAGGCGGTGGCGATGGCGGGTGTGAAGGCGGCGGAGGTGGAGGGATTGAAGAACTTGGGGGAGGAGATGAAGGAGGAGGTGGTGGTTGCAACGGCTGCAAAGGCTGGTGATTGAATTGGGAAAACTGGGAAGATGGGTAGTACATGGGAGGCGGAGGCGGTGGCGGTGGCGGTGTGTTCATGGCATTTGGGGGCATCGAATGAGGTGGTGGAGGTGGGTATGAAGACTCCGGAGGAGGTGGTGGTGGATACGAAAACTGTTGTTGTTGAGCATGAGGTGGTGGTGGTGGTGGTGGTTGTGGAGGAAGTGGATTTCTCTGAGGAGCACCATACGATGATCCGTAATTTACATGTTGATAACTCGGATTCGGATGCATCTGAGTATAATTCTGTGAATACGAAGACCCATCACTGGCGTTGTAACCCCAATTTTGCTGCGAATACTGAGTTCCTCGCGATGGTAGCGGCGGTTGTGCAGGTTGCAGAGGGTTTTGATTTGGAGGTGGTGCAAAAGTTGACTGAGGCGGTGGTGGGAATGGCCTGTAAGAAGCCATACCCAGTTCTAGGTTTCTCTCTATTTCACACTCAAAATTCTAGGAGAGAGAACTTAATTGCCAAGGTACATACAAAATCCTAGTAGAGAGAGAGCGAGAACTCAATTGCAAGCTCTGATATGTAAAACCCTAGGAGAGAGAAAATTTGCATTTCCGTCGAGGAATTTGCAATAGAATTGTACAAACCTAAAGAGAGAGATAAAATAGAACTGAAATTCTCGCCTCGAAAATCAAAAAGGAACTAAAGGAACGCCCCCAATGCAGTACATTCGAATTCCAAATCTCGGCTTAGCTCAATTTTGAAACAAACAAGTTCGAAACCCTATAAGATAGAAAATTGAATTGCTTTTCAGTCAAGAAATTTCAATACAAACCCTAGGGAGAGATAAAATTGGGCAAAAAATTCTCACCTTGAAAATCAAAGAAGAAGTAATTGAAACCCTAATGCATTCAATCCGAATTCCTCATCATGCTTTCTATCAGATATACCCTAATGCGCATGCAGATGGCCAGATAGAAATGCGTTGTGTGTAATAGAGAGAGAGACACACTTGTCCAGGAGCGAAACAAAAGGTGGCCACTTTATAGTTTGCAGGCTGGAGGAGAGCCTGGAGAGATAGAGAGCACAATGTTTTGCTGGTGGGTTAACGCCCGAGACGGCCTTCTCGAATTTGTTTATTTTTTTTTTAAATTATTTAAACCCGATTCATTTAAAATATCTGTCAAATTTTAATCGAATCTTAAACAAATTAAACTTGAATAATTTTATTTGATTATTAAGTTGAGGGTGACAATCAACTCCTCCATTCAAAGTTTATTTTGGTACTCTTATGGTATATATTGGTGGCGTTATATTTAAATTTTAAATTATATTTCAACATTATTCGGTATATTTTTCTTAATTAGATTCATTACATATAGATTTTCATAAATAAAAAATATAGAAATATACTTCATATAATACTAATTAAACGAGTTTACAGGATTAATATTAAATTTTTCATGTCTAACACTAATTTTATTAGTTTTATGTAGATCGTGTTATGTCAATATCATGTTTAATTCTAANTTTAATATTAACTTTTTCATGTCTAATACTAATTTTATTAGTTTTATGTAGATCGTGTTATGTCAATATCATGTTTAATTCTAACTATATTATAAAAATGTGTTTAAAATTGTTGTTTTTATATGCAACCCATGATTATTTGTATCATTCGTTTAGCTTTTTTTTTTTTTAATTTGTTGTTTGAGAATTTGGCTTGCAGGTCCAAAGAAAAAGAAAAAAAAAAAAATCTTCGAAAAAGGGTTAATCTCTTCTTATAACCTTTAGTTGAGGTAAAAGTTCAATCATCTCAACATAGTCACAAGTAGTGTTCAAAAAAAAAAATAGTCACAAGCCCTCCTCTTATGATGATTCCAAAACATGGAATCAATGGACATACATTATAGGCTAACCGTAGCAGCTTTTCGTGTTTGTGTTGTACTCATCTTCATTTATTTGTATTAACNATTTGTTGTTTGAGAATTTGGCTTGCAGGTCCAAAGAAAAAGAAAAATAAAATAAAAATCTTCGAAAAATGGTTAATCTCTTCTTACAACCTTTAGTTGAGGTAAAAGTTCAATCATTTCAACATAGTCACAAGTAGTGTTCAAAAAAAAAAAATAGTCACAAGCCCTCCTCTTATGACGATTCCAAAACATGGAACCAATGGACATACATTATAGATTAACCGTAGCAGCTTTTCGTGTTTGTGTTGTACTCATCTTCATTTATTTGTATTAACAACCACAAAAATATACATAAAAGATAGATGAGCGAAACCAACAGATAAATGATAATTAAAAATTATAGCGTATTTTTTGTTTAAGAATTTATGCCAACAACTCCAATAGTCTAATCATAAAAAGGTATATTATGAGTTTATGGTAACACCCTTAATTGACAATCAATTATGTATATCGGGTATCATTGGAGTTCTAGATATTATTTAATAGGATATTTTTTAGGATATGACAATTTTTGATTGGTAAGGATTGTAAAAGTTATCTTAATTTCATATTCCTTCTAGTTTTTTTTTTGTGAAGGGCTTTACAATTGGGCTAGATAATTATTATTTTATTTTTTCCAACAAGGACTAGATAAATTGAATTTTATTTTATTTTTATAAAAAAAAAAAAGAGGAAAAAGATGACCAATAAGTACTAACTCCTTAGACGTGACCATAAGAGTCCTCCACCGTGAAAATGTCTGGTTTGAGCTATAATTATTAATCCGAAAAAGTACACCGTCATCACAGTAGATCAAACCCTATTTGATAATCACATGAGAGTTAAGGACAATTCTAAACGAGTACAACTTACCACTAAATCACTAGCTCGAATGGTTAGATAGTTGAATCATCTAGGAATTAATTGATATTCTTTCTACTTCAGACTCAACTCAACAAAATTATTGTCGAATAAAAATTGGATGCCACTGTCTATAAGATAGAAATTGGAGATATGAAAAGAGATATAGAAGTGATTCAGTACATGCGCCTACATCCATAGAACAAAAAATTACATTGAAATATTATAATCTAACAGTCTAATAATTGATTACATAGAATTAACCCTATTTATAAAGATAAAACACCGATGAGATACAACATAAAATAGGTAACTCATATTATTAGATCTCGATGTTTTCGTCACTAATAAACCTATTTACGATACATTAGGGACAAATTTTATTTTTTTTCTTATTTGATTTGAGATTCTTTTTAATGGAGAAAAAAATCTTCCAATAAACATAGAAACCCATAAGCGGGGCCCAATATAGGAACTATAGCAATAATTATTAAAGAAAAAAACTTCCATCACAAAATATTTTGATTCTTGGATCAAAATACGAAGGGCTTACATGAGAGCCCAAAGCTTCAAAAACCCCACTAGACCCATCCCCCTTTTTCTCTTTATTTAATAACTTAGGAGGGGATGGTGGATTTGCTCATGGGTTATATAGAGTACAAATTTCTTCAATGCCATCTTGCCACATCAAAGGTGTCCTGGCTCATATCAATTTGTTTCCTTACTTGGGCCGACATGCAGTCTCAACAGGCCCAACTTGCCTTGCAAACTGACCAAAAAAAAAAAAAATTAAATGAGTAATACAACACACTGGGTTAATGCTAATGAAAATTAGGTTGATAATTGAGTTGAGGTATTTGAATTCGGTTTGGGTAGGACTCGACTTGATCTCGGTTGGTGTATTAAATGAGTAAAGCTTCAACAATTTTTAAGGCTCATTTAGAAAACAAGCCTAAAAGGGTTGACTTGAGCTTACAAAACTCGTTCGTTTCTATGTAAAATAATTGAGTTATTCAGAATTAACTCATTTTATGAATGAGTCGAACTTGAATAATTTATTAGGCTTATTTAGAAAAATGAGTTCGACAAGCTTGGTTCGAACTCACAAAGCTCGGCTCAATTATCAACCCTAATAAAAACTAAAAAGTTTGAATGTGAATTTAGATTTGAAACCTTCAAATAAATCTTTGTTCTCGGTGCTAAATCACTTATAATGAAGTTATGATAGTGTTAAAAAAAAAAAAGGAAGTTACGATAAACCCATTATGTAAGTGGGTCTCTTAAATATATGGCGATGGCCGATAATAAACAATTTTGTAAAATTGAGTAAAGATGTAATAAAGAAGATAAGTATGGTGGGTGTAAATTAGAAATGAACAGAAGGGGACCTGGAAATAAGCTTCAAGCTTCTTTTTAAGTGTTGCATATTCTTTCTTCACTTGCTGAAAAGTCTTCTTGCATCTGCATATATTTATTCAATTCAAAATCATTATGGCATATTTGGTACGTGGGTTTGGATGAGATTTCAAGGGTAGATTTTGTGTTCAATATACCTTTTAAATTGTATTTAGTTTAAGTTTTGAGGTCCGGAATTTAGAGGGTAAATGAATTTCGGCCCGTAATAAATAGTGAATTAAAATCCATGTATAGGGTTTTGATGGAACTATGGGGGGGGTGGGTTTAAAAAATTAGAGACGAGATTTGTAGATAAAAAGCCTTCTTTCCATATCTCATGCTTGCTCTCCATTCATGGAACTGAAATTTTAAGTGAGTGACTTGACTACGGTATCAGGAAAAAAAATTTGGTATTGTACTTCCGATATTTATTATTTCAATGGTGTTTTTTTATAATTTTTGTGGATTATTTTATAAATACAAAATTATTATTTTTGTGGGTGATTTATTACATTTAAAGATGTTTTTACCATTATTGTGGTACCTCTTTTTATCTTTATTTTAATACCCACAATAATAATAAAAATATTTATAAATATGATAAATAGAAGTATAATATCGATTTTTTTTTTCAATACCATAGACAAGTCCTTAGGGAAGGACAGCGTCAAATTTATAAGGAATAGAGTGAAAGATGGTTTACCCTTCTCCNAAAGGTATATTATGAGTTTATGGTAACACCCTTAATTGACAATCAATTATGTATAACGGGTATCATTGGAGTTCTAGATATTATTTAATAGGATATTTTTTAGGATATGACAATTTTTGATTGGTAAGGATTGTACACTAGAAAGTTATCTTAATTTCATATCCCTTCTAGTTTTTTTTTTTTAATTTTTGTGAAGGGCTTTACAATTGGGCTAGATAATTATTATTTTATTTTTTCCAACAAGGACTAGATAAATTGAATTTTATTTTATTTTTATAAAAAAAAAAAAGAGGAAAAAGATGACCAATAAGTACTAACTCCTTAGACGTGACCATAAGAGTCCTCCACCGTGAAAATGTCTGGTTTGAGCTATAATTATTAATCCGAAAAAGTACACCGTCATCACAGTAGATCAAACCCTATTTGATAATCACATGAGAGTTAAGGACAATTCTAAACGAGTACAACTTACCACTAAATCACTAGCTCGAATGGTTAGATAGTTGAATCATCTAGGAATTAATTGATATTCTTTCTACTTCAGACTCAACTCAACAAAATTATTGTCGAATAAAAATTGGATGCCACTGTCTAGAAGATAGAAATTGGAGATATGAAAAGAGATATAGAAGTGATTCAGTACATGCGTCTACATCCATAGAACAAAAAATTACATTGAAATATTATAATCTAACAGTCTAATAATTGATTACATAGAATTAACCCTATTTATAAAGATAAAACACCGATGAGATACAACATAAAATAGGTAACTCATATTATTAGATCTCGATGTTTTCGTCACTAATAAACCTATTTACGATACATTAGGGACAAATTTTATTTTTTTTCTTATTTGATTTGAGATTCTTTTTAATGGAGAAAAAAATCTTCCAATAAACATAGAAACCCATAAGCGGGGCCCAATATAGGAACTATAGCAATAATTATTAAAGAAAAAAACTTCCATCACAAAATATTTTGATTCTTGGATCAAAATACGAAGGGCTTACATGAGAGCCCAAAGCTTCAAAAACCCCACTAGACCCATCCCCCTTTTTCTCTTTATTTAATAACTTAGGAGGGGATGGTGGATTTGCTCATGGGTTATATAGAGTACAAATTTCTTCAATGCCATCTTGCCACATCAAAGGTGTCCTGGCTCATATCAATTTGTTTCCTTACTTGGGCCGACATGCAGTCTCAACAGGCCCAACTTGCCTTGCAAACTGACCAAAAAAAAAAAAAATTAAATGAGTAATACAACACACTGGGTTAATGCTAATGAAAATTAGGTTGATAATTGAGTTGAGGTATTTGAATTCGGTTTGGGTAGGACTCGACTTGATCTCGGCTGGTGTATTAAATGAGTAAAGCTTCAACAATTTTTAAGGCTCATTTAGAAAACAAGCCTAAAAGGGTTGACTTGAGCTTACAAAACTCGTTCGTTTCTATGTAAAATAATTGAGTTATTCAGAATTAACTCATTTTATGAATGAGTCGAACTTGAATAATTTATTAGGCTTATTTAGAAAAATGAGTTCGACAAGCTTGGTTCGAACTCACAAAGCTCGGCTCAATTATCAACCCTAATAAAAACTAAAAAGTTTGAATGTGAATTTAGATTTGAAACCTTCAAATAAATCTTTGTTCTCGGTGCTAAATCACTTATAATGAAGTTATGATAGTGTTAAAAAAAAAAAAGGAAGTTACGATAAACCCATTATGTAAGTGGGTCTCTTAAATATATGGCGATGGCCGATAATAAACAATTTTGTAAAATTGAGTAAAGATGTAATAAAGAAGATAAGTATGGTGGGTGTAAATTAGAAATGAACAGAAGGGGACCTGGAAATAAGCTTCAAGCTTCTTTTTAAGTGTTGCATATTCTTTCTTCACTTGCTGAAAAGTCTTCTTGCATCTGCATATATTTATTCAATTCAAAATCATTATGGCATATTTGGTACGTGGGTTTGGATGAGATTTCAAGGGTAGATTTTGTGTTCAATATACCTTTTAAATTGTATTTAGTTTAAGTTTTGAGGTCCGGAATTTAGAGGGTAAATGAATTTCGGCCCGTAATAAATAGTGAATTAAAATCCATGTATAGGGTTTTGATGGAACTATGGGGGGGGTGGGTTTAAAAAATTAGAGACGAGATTTGTAGATAAAAAGCCTTCTTTCCATATCTCATGCTTGCTCTCCATTCATGGAACTGAAATTTTAAGTGAGGGACTTGACTACGGTATCAGGAAAAAAAATTTGGTATTGTACTTCCGATATTTATTATTTCAATGGTGTTTTTTTATAATTTTTGTGGATTATTTTATAAATACAAAATTATTATTTTTGTGGGTGATTTATTACATTTAAAGATGTTTTTACCATTATTGTGGTAGCTCTTTTTATCTTTTTTTTAATACCCACAATAATAATAAAAATATTTATAAATATGATAAATAGAAGTATAATATTGATTTTTTTTTCAATACCATAGACAAGTCCTTACGGAAGGACAGCGTCAAATTTATAAGGAATAGAGTGAAAGATGGTTTACCCTTCTCCATTTCCTGCCTTGCAGTATTCCTTGAACTGTGTGCACTCACTCTTCACTTTTTTTGCTCCAATGCTGCACCAAAGTTTGAGAGAGAGAGAGAGAGAGAGAGAGAGAGAGAGAGAGTATGTTAATTAAAGCCAGAACAGAATATACTTAACTATGCTTGTCATCTTATAAACTTGTACCTGGAACAACTCCCTTTGAACTGGTGCATGTAGCCATCCAACTTAGTAAAATCAAGAGTGCTCTTATCCCTACGTGAATCCCAGAACAAAAACATCAACACTATCATCGTTTTATCATTATTCAAAAATTATAACTAAGGAAACTAAAAAAATTTCCTCACAGTGCTTGGTCTATGCTTTGGATTAATCGAGCTGAGTCTCTATAGAACAATGTAACAACTTCCTCCACGAAATTAGGATTAGCATCGTCCTGCAACTCTTCCAACTGAATAAATTGTTCGTCTAGATATCCCTGAAGAATATTACCCCAACCAACATTATGTCTCAAGTATTTCAAGAGAAATGCACAACCTGGTAAGATTTAAATCTGCAATGGTTCACGGATCGAAGTAAAATTGTGGTTCTTCCATTAACTATTTTACTAAGATCCCACATCAGTTAAAAATAAGACTAGATGTGTGTATATAATCTCTTGTGCACCCTTCTTTTACAAGTCAATTTTCAAGAGCAAGTTCTACCCATGAGTTTATAGCAATTGTTATTAGAACTAACCACCATCCTCGAGTATGGGATTGAATGTAGTGCGAATTACGGCTCTAAGTGGTCGAGTCATGGAAGGGGCGACCTATAGAGTNAATGTGTGTATATAATCTCTTGTGCACCCTTCTTTTACAAGTCAATTTTCAAGAGTAAGTTCTACCCATGAGTTTATAGCAATTGTTATTAGAACTAACCACCATCCTCGAGTATGGGATTGAATGTAGTGCGAATTACGGCTCTAAGTGGTCGAGTCATGGAAGGGGCGACCTATAGAGTACATTAAGATGACTTGATATTATGTATAAGCATAATACTATCTTATTGAATACTGATAAATGAGTGGAGCCNCAGAGTACATTAAGATGACTTGGTATTATGTATAAGCATAATACTATCTTATTGAATACTGATAGATGAGTGGAGCCATGAAATGTTACGATCTCACATCAGTTAAAAAGAAGGCTAGATGTGTGTTTAGATGAGTGGAGCCATATAATATTACGATCTCACATCGATTAAAAATAAGGATAGATATGTGTTTATAAACTCTTGGACACTCTTCTCTTGCAAGCCGGTTAAGCCAATTTTCAAGAGCAAGTTTTATNTAGAGTACATTAAGATGACTTGATATTATGTATAAGCATAATACTATCTTATTGAATACTGATAAATGAGTGGAGCCATGAAATGTTACGATCTCACATCGGTTAAAAAGAAGGCTAGATGTGTGTTTAGATGAGTGGAGCCATATAATATTACGATCTCACATCGATTAAAAATAAAGTTAGATATGTGTTTATAAATTCTTGGACACTCTTCTCTTGCAAGCCGGTTAAGCCAATTTTCAAGAGCAAGTTTTATTCATGGATTCATAACATATTTTCTCTCAAGCAATGCTATTGGGACATTAAGATACCAAGCTTATAAGATTAGTTGTGGGTCTCAAGTTCCCAAAATTAAACGTAGTTCACTACCAACACAAAAGTTACCATCCATTATGTCTCCCCACATTAAGGATAAGTAGCATTATTCGTGTCTATTGATTTTCTGTAGCACACACCCATACTGCACCCACACACAAATCAGCATATCTACAAGAATGCAAGTAGGGTTGATGGAAATTATGCAAAGTATAGTACTGGAAAATAATCAACAGAGAAGGAAGGGTAATTAAGCCTCATGTTTGCAAGAGAGATCAGTCAACAGCGGAGCAGAAGAGTAAAACCTGATCGAAAAGAGACTTCCTCATGTTAGCAAGCTGTCGATGCATTTGAGTTCTTTCCATTTGAGAGGTAATGAGCAGAAATGCAATATGGGATAAGGAGAAAGGAAGAGTATATAGCAAGGAAGAGAGAAAGAGAGAGAGAGAGAGAGAGAGACTTGAGTAATGGAAGCTAGACTGAGTCGATAGTGCAATAAGAGCAGGTGACGGAGGGTTTATATAGGAGAGAGAGGTATTACTGAAGGTTACAGGTATTTGATTCTGCCAGAAAGATATCAGATTTGTCTGCCTTTTCAAGGTCCTGAAGCATTTCATGCAAACTGTAGATATGTGGTACCTCTGGTTTTATACATCTAGAAGGTTTAATTTATATATAAATGTTGGATCAGAAACGAATCCATATTACAATAATAATATCTGTACTGAATCTATCAGAAATTAATCTCTTTGCTTAAAATTCTCACCGTTTTTAATCAAGGGCAGTATGGAGTCTTTGGCAGGTCGGCCACTAGAAATTTAATGTTGGTCCAAGTTAAAAAACTCTATTTGTTAACACTGACCTTATGTTCTCGTTTATTGATAAAGGGGATTTCGGGTTCCTAAGTCCACTTCCCTCTTCATTTTCGCTAGCTTTAGATGGTCACAGAGAGAGAGATGATCACACCTTTATTCCCATCTCCATCCAATAGGACGGAGTTAGAAATTTGTTTAAGGGTGGACACAGTGTAATTGTAAGTTTTAATTTATTCTATAATAGTACATTTATGTTTTTAACATAATATTTATATTTAAAGATTAACTAAACATATAAGGATCAAAAATCAACATACATAACTTGTGCAAATAAAAAACAAAAAAATAATAAATAAATAATTATAACACTTTGCAATAAAATAAAATAAGACTAATTACATCATTCAGTGAGTGGGTCAACTTTTTTTTTATGCGGATTTGTCCTGCGAAAATTTTAGTCACACATTTTTTAGTTTATCATGTCTTTAAGGATTTTTTTTTTATTTTTTGAATATTCATTTACACTTCCTATCAGATTAAAAGTCTTCTAGAATACAATTTTACTAAATTGTTAATGATATATTTTAAGAAAAATTTCATCAACACCCCTCTAAATAGGCATATCTTCAATGAGACCCCTCTATTTTATGAATTTTTTACCTATTAAAATTCGGGATGATTTAATCTGTTCGAATCGAATTTTAATCAATTCGTAGTGAATTTTAATACGTAAAAAAATATAAATTTTAATCGACTCAAATTTTAATACGTAAAAAATAATTTTAATCAACTTGAATTGAATTTTAATTGGCACAAAGTTTAATAAATAAAAAATATAAATTTTAATTGACTCGAATTAAATTTTAATCGGCGGGTTAAGGTCAAATCTGCTCAAATTTTGCTCAAATTTTAATGTGTAGAAACGAAATTTTAATTAGCTTGTAAAAAAATAATTTTAATCAACTCAAATTTTAATCCAATTTTATGTAAAAATATTGTTTGGGGTTTTTGTGGGGTAATTTTAGTATTTTAGATGATTTTTTGATTAGAAATGATGGTTTAACTGCAGAGGATGTTAGTGATATTTAAATATAAATTAAAAAGAATATCATTGATATTTTGAATAATAAAAGTGTTGTACTTAAAAATATAATAAATTAAAAAGAAATTGACTGAAAATTGTCGGTGATATTTTCAATGGGGGTGGAGTGGACCCATGTGTTTTTTCACTCCAGTAAATAATAATTTAGGTTTTGATCAAAAAAATAATAATAATAATTTAGGCTAAAGAGTGGGCCCAATTTTATGTAAATAAAAAAAAGAATAAATTACAAAATATATGTAAATAAAAAAAAGAAAAAATCAGGGTGGACCAGGCCCCTAGTTACTTCTGGCTTCGTCACAGCCGTCCGACAAAGAGAGATATACTTTTGACCTTTTTATTGTACAATAATCTGCACTGCTAAAACGTGACACCATCTCCATAAGGAATTGTCTATATATACCTGCACTACACTCAAAATTGAACCTAAGTCTCCCCCGTCGCATAACAAATTTTCTCATAAATGGAAGTTAGATTTATCTTTGTACATTACACCCAAAAAAAAAAAAAAAAGTGACGGGTATAACCAATTAAATTTTTCTCATTTTTTTTATAACCGAAAATAGTTCAAACCACGTGTTTTTTGAGTTTTGACTCATTTACAATGTGAATTTTGGATGTTCGTAATCACCTGCAAAGTTTAAATTCTTTTATTTAAACTAAAGTGTGATTCCTCTTTATACAAAAATATGATATCGATACGCATCCACAGTCAGTAAAGATGTGATTAATCTCAAAAATGTCTGACATAACATGATATGCTGCAAAACATTGCCACAGACATGTTCAAAAAACCACCTTCCAATTTTACAAAAAGCTGAAACATAATGGGCATAAGTATCTAATTTTATGCCTTGCATTATGCAGCCCATTCCCAATGTCTAAAGATTACATTTCTTTTTCTCTTCTACAGCAATCATGGGATTGACGGTTCTTATGAAACTCCTGGAGATAGCATGGTTCTCACCATCCTACTACATCCACTTCTTCCCCATATTCTCTCATAGAACTTCATATTTGTTACAATAAAGGATACAATTCATTACTCAGACAATTTAATGCATGAGACTTTTATTATACTTAAACTAGTGAGAGTTATGTTACAATGAAATTACATTTACGGCTATGCCCAGATCAGTAACACCCATGTGATGATTGAATTGAGATGAGAAGAATTATGTAGTTTTATGTCGTGTACAGAGATATTATTTCTGTGAGTTCTACCCGTGACACCCAAGTGAAGATGAAGTAATCTTATTATTGCGCTAAGATCTACCCTCGATTTGATTTGGTTCATTAGCCAAGAACTAAATATCTTTATAGGGGGCCTAACCATCAAGCAAACTAAAATAGCAGCTGCTCCTTATTCGGGCAACCCTGAATTCACCAATAATATACATTGTTGGTATAATAAATGGATATGCAGACAAATCATTCCACATATTCGTTAGAGATCATTATCTCTCAGTACCACACAGCTATCTACGAAAGATCTTACCGCACCTATGTCGAGGCCAAAACTGAGGTTTCACGGTATGCTCTGGGTGACAAACAATAGGTTTAGCCCCACCGAACTGTTGTAGTTGCGGAGACTCGAACCCAAGCATTAAGCAAGAAAATCTAAACTAATATAAACTCTTACTCACTGAACCAACCACCCGGTGGTACCAACAGCCAGCATATATTGAACAAGAAAATAGAATAGAATTCTCAATTTATCTGCCTCTCTGCCATTAATCAAGCTAGTATCTAATTGAAGTAAGAAGATACATTTGGTAAGTTGGATTTGGTGGGTGGGGAATATATAAAACTAACAAGAACACACACCAACAAGACAAGTATCATCAAGCAACCAAATTAGGCAAGAGGAGAAGAACAAAGCAGAGAAAAATCTCAATAATGATTTACATTAAAAGCTTTTTGCTTGCATCCACTGGTCCTTGTCATGGCTTTTCTCTTTCCCTCCTCCTACCTGCAAATGCAACTTTACAAAGTGTTAAGAAGTGTTTGAGAAGAGATTCCCCCTTTATTCCTATCCCACACCCAAGTGAGAAGACAAATTTACCTCTCTCTCTCTCTCTCTCTCTCTCTATATATATATATATATATATGTATGTATGTTGTTTTCTTTTGTGAATGTGTGGTGACATCTTATCCTTTGTTAAATATCTAAAAGCTAGTAGTGCTAGGAGTGGAGTGGGATCAGAATATGTCTTATACTGGCGCAGATGGTGATTCTCTTCTCCTATCACTGTCTCCTATATATTATGTTGATAAGAATCCACCCTGTACAGCCATAAATCCCCATTTAGCATTACATTACAAGTGATTTAGTGTAACACATACATCAGCAAAACAAGCAGCACAAAAGTAGACTTTTATTCTCTCTTTTCCCAGCCAAAGGCGAAAGAAAACGTGATATATAAAAGAGAGCGGCCTAATACAAGAGACTTCCATTATTATAGAATTTAGGGAGAGTTAGATATACACAATCTTACCTTATTGTGAGGATACTCTGCTTCCAGAAGCTGAGGTGAGATTGCTGCATGAAAGATTATAGCAGGCTTGTGGGACATCCCTGAGAAATCTCCCTTTTTTTTAAGTTCAACGGTAAAAGATGTTCGTACCAACTTACGCGTACATCAACTAATCTCTACCTCAATCCGATCAAATGCAGCCACCCATACCAAGATTAGAATATTTATGAGAGATAAATTCTTCATAATCTGACCTTAAAGAGTTGTCAATATTCGAATTAAATATATTTGAATTTAATGCTCGTCGAGAGAATAATCCAAACTTGTGAGCAGAGCCAAAGCAACTTTACAGAAGTTAGCTTTAAGGTTGTTTTCTACTGTCCTTTCACAGATATTCTCCTTGCAGCATCTATTCTCATCATTTTCACTAGAATGCAACTCCTAGTAGACATGAATAAAGATAGCATCCACACAAGAGGTTCCTTCCATTATCACTTTCGAAACTCTTATCCAAGTGGGAATGACCTTGGCAAAACAAGAATGAGGGCATCTCGTATAATTCATATATTAGATAGATATTAAAAATCTCCGATATTATACTATGGGAACATATTTCATCCCACCAAGCAAAAATAAGTATTACTGATAAGTCAGTTGAACGTCGCTCCAATACGTTATGTTTTTTACTAGTTATTGAACTTTTAAGCCTACTANGCAAAAATAAGTATTACTGATAAGTCAGTTGAACGTCGCTCCAATACGTTATGTTTTTTACTAGTTATTGAACTTTTAAGCCTACTATTTTCAACAGCCGCAATGTTTACGGTATATGCTACGAGCCCAGATGTTGGATGAATTTATTCAANCTTTGCAGGTTTTGATTCTATTGTTCTAGAACTCTGAGTTTGGTTTTTATAGTATCGGAATTCATGTTGCCATATTTCTGTGGTTGATGTTTGTTGTAATGGATTTAAATTTTTTATCGAATCTGGTAGAGCTACTTACAAAGATTTATCTTGTTGACTTTGCCAGGCAACTCCCCCCCCCCCCCCCCCCCCCCCCCTCCTCTTTCCATCGTTTTCCAGCATTCTCTTGCAAAGCCAACAAATCCATATGGAATCATGACCCATGCATTGACATTCAATTGGATGCTGTGAACAAAACACGAAAAGCATTGTGAGACGTCTTGTGTTATTGTAAGCAAACCCGAGGGCATGGTGCATGGGAGGCTGGCTTAGTGGCAGTGGTGTGGTGGAGGTGGTCCAATGGATAGCAGTTTACTGGTGGTGCATTCGGGACGGATAGTGATGCTCTCCAGTCCGGTGACGGGTCATCAGCCTAGTCATGGTGATCAGTTTCTTTCTTCTTTTAAAAAAATCGAAAAAAGGACTTTGATTAACCCCATGAAATAACTCAAGATAACAAAAACAAACTGTAAATTCAAATGTTATAAGTTCAAATCCTAACAAATCCTAACAACTCCTTGGAACCAAACCAAAAATAATTTAACTCTCGTAAATACCCGAGTCTTGAAACCGAAAAAAAAATTAATTAAAATACACTTAAACTAGAGTTTTGAGCTGACAAAGGTACATGGCTCAACCACATTGCAACCGAATCTTGGCAATCTACTTATAAATAGTAATAAATCCCACTTTATCTATGATAAATAATTTATTATTTAGATAAATTAAATAAAAATGTAATCGATACAATCTCAACAGGCCACGAGCTCCTCAAATGAGAATGTGGGCAAAACCTTTTTTCTTTATTCCTATTTTTTATATTTGGTCAGAAAAGTAATATTAAATCAACAATAGAAAACTTAACACAAGCTAGAAATCTTTCGTTGAACTAAACTCAGAACCTTGTTGACTACCATCACTTAATCATATCATATTCTTCTTCCTACCCACCAACCAAAGTATATAACTTACAGGATTGAAGGAAATGAGGTAAAAATATAAGTAAACAAAAATGACAAAATTATATGAAGTTTGGTACCAAACAGTATAATGATCTCTGAAACGATACAACAAACAATATCTCGATCGCCTTCGTTTACCGGTAGGTTCGATAACTGGGGCTGTACATGCAGCTCTCAGCATAGGCTACCAGATCTTCTGGTTGGGGTAGACGAGTGGCCAAACCTATGAAAAGCAATAACATGTAAACAATAAATCCAGAGAGTCTGGCATTCTCATAATGTTTGAACAAATTCTGGTGGGATGGGTAAGAATCTCACCAAGTTCATATGCTTTGGCTGCCACTTTAGCAGCAATATGGGCAGAGATCTTTCTGATGTTAGTAAAAGGTGGGTATATGAGTCCATTGTCAAAGTTCTCCTGTGTAACCTCCGCAGCTAGAGTTTCCGCTGAATCAAGGAAACAAAGAAGGTGATAGCGATATAATAGGTTAGAACTAAAAAGGATGAAACGGTAAATGAAAGTCCAATAACAAAGTAATGACAAGATCAATCCCATCATCTTCCAAATTTTTGAATGTTTGAGGTTTCATAACTTTGTGCACTTACAGGCTGCCAACAGCATGTCATCATGAACACGGATTGCACCGGAGATTATCAGACCCAGACCAAATCCGGGAAAAATGTAGGCATTATTTGACTAGATAAGAAACAAATGTAACAAGAAGTCAATCCTCAAGTTGTCACATTATCTATAAGCGCAAGGACAATGTTGCCAGCCGTGTTTAAAAGTTAGAACCTGGCCAGAAACATAGACCTTCCCCTTGAATTCAACAGGGGCGAATGGGCTCCCACTAGCAAAAATGGCACGACCCTAAAAGCAACAAAAAGGAAAACAGAAATGAAAGGCGCATTATTACATACAACCAGGATAACTAAAATGTCTCAATGAAAGAGTGTGTACGCATGGATATGCAAGAGATAGAAGCAAAGATATTACCTCACTCCAAGTATAAGCTTCTTCGGCAGTGCATTCAGATTGTGAAGTGGGATTGGAGAGAGCAAGAATAATGGGTTTCTGCACGTCACTCATTTTGCAAAAATGTCAGTTTCTTCCACTTAAATGTATATTTTTTCAGCAAATACATAAACAGGCAAGAAAACAAAAAAAAACAATTACAATACCTCATTGAAGGATGCCATAGACTCGATCACTTCTTTGGTAAATGTTCTTCCTGCTCCTGATGATCCTATTAACACTGTTGGCTTGATTGCCTGACAAAGCAAGCCACGGAAGTGAAGAGACCAAAATACATGCGTTCTACCAAAAGAGAGAAATAGAGAGAGAACGATCTCACACCTTAACAGCATCTACAAGATCTTTTACAGGTTCATGTTCATGGGCCCAAGGTTTCTTGAAATGTTGAAGTGATTCCCTGCGCGAGCTAACAATCAAACCCTACAATGAAGCAAAATAAGCATTTATGCCAGGAGAAGGAAAAATTGGCTATAAAGAATTAACAGCAAAAAAAACTGGTTTTTGTTACCTTTGAGTCCACGAGCCAAATCTTCTTGCGAGTCTCTTCCAATGGGGCTCCAGTCTGCATAAAAGTCAAGTATGAACAATACACCCTATTTTTCTCTTTAATGTGGAGTTTCCTAGGAAGAGAAACAAAACAATATGTAGAAGATAATAATTTCAATAATACGCTTTTACCTGTTTTGAAATCTCAAGAGCTATGAGTTCTGCAATACCAGTGCCAGCCTGCATTATCACAAGATACAATGAGGCAAATAATATTTAAAATAAAGAAAAATGCCAGAGGAATNCTTTTACCTGTTTTGAAATCTCAAGAGCTATGAGTTCTGCAATACCAGTGCCAGCCTGCATTAATCACAAGATACAATGAGGCAAATAATATTTAAAATAAAGAAAAATGCCAGAGGAATATAAAAGGGGAAGGGGATAGTAAGGAACAAAAATAGGTACTTTCTGGAAAAAGGAACTTCAATAAGCATCATTGAAGGATACAAGAGCCTTTGAAAAATAAATAAGGTCTTGGAGCAGGAAGGGACTGAGCAGATACAAGTTTGTATAAATTTATCAAACAATTACACTTGAAAATCGACCTTTTTTATTGCTTCGTGATGAGTACAACAATAATAAAGACAATGGAATCTTAAGAAAAAAAGTAACAAGACTCTACCTCTCCTGCTCCAAGGAATAAAAACCTATGCTCAGCTAAGGTTCCCCCAACTAACTTCAGTGCTGCTATAAGCCCTGCAAGAACCACAGATGCTGTCCCCTGAAACAAAGTAAATAAAGTGGCAATTTAAAAAAGGTTAAACCCTGCCCCCAACCCACACCCCAGCCCTGCATCCTCGGGGTGCAAGCCTGCCATATGCAGCCAAAAAATAAGAGAAGAAAAAAGAAAAGAAAACTAAACAGACGGAAAGGACTAGAGATGAAAAGCAAAAAGGACCCAAAAATGCTTATCAGAAAATCCTCCATTAATTACCTGTATGTCATCATTGAACACGAGATGTGTAGTGCCATACTTTGCAAGGAGATCAAAGGCATTGTGATTTGCAAAGTCTTCAAACTGAATAATGCGGATTAAGGACTTAATGAACTGCATAATAAATGAACAATTAAATGAGTCTGCATGTCGAGGAAAAGTAACCTGAATGAGGACTTTCTCCCCGTAGTTCTGCTTGACAGCAGACATAAATTCATGTAGAAGTTCGGCATATTCCTGAAGTGGAGGGTAAAAATTTTAGTTCACTATCTCACAGGAACTAGCTCTATCCAGTTCAATAAAGCAAACAATGGACCTGCCCAGTTGCCCTCCTTTGCCTGAGCCCAATGTAGAATTCATCCTTTAATAACGTCTCATTGTTTGTTCCAACGTCAATGGTTATAGGCAAGCACTGAAAATAGCCAACAGACCTCATAAACTTATTTGCTACTGGTGAATAAATAAATATGAACAAGAAAAGCAGATGATGGCATCATGACTGAATAATTTGATATATGCTGTGTTTTAAGTGTTCTAGGATTTGGAACCCATAAAATGGTTCCTTAATTCAATGAAAACTACAGGCTGCCATGTAAAGTACCGACTACAGAACATGCTGGAAAGCATAGTTATCGCTCCAATCAAAAAATGAAAGAAGTGAATCAATAAACAAATCTCTTTTTTTCCTTAACAAAAAATTGTGCCACCATCTTTAGGACTATAAGATCACCCTGTTTACGAAAACCAGTGAGCTACGCCAAAGTTTTGCTGCACAAGTGAGCAATACAGGAACACAACCAGCTTTCTCTAATCTAGGTTTCAGGGACGTATCGACAGAGACAACTAATGAAAGCAAGCTATCATAGTAAATTTGATATGATTATAGCCTTAAACACCATTTCAGGAAACATTTCTGTTGAACTAGCAGGTACTTACAGCTGAAGGACGAACTCCTCCAAGTGCAGTGTATAAGGAAAGCTTCCCTACGGGAATCCCCATCCCCTGAGACAACCATAATTTGTTAAAATCACATCAGTCCTGAAAATAGAGGTGTGCACAAGCATGTGTGATCATGCGTATGTACTCATACTGAGTCATGCATACCCCCAAAGGTGCAAAATTACTTTAATCAAGCAATAAAAATTTGATGGCAAACACTTNGGTGTGCACAAGCATGTGTGATCATGCGTATGTACTCATACTGAGTCATGCATACCCCCCAAAGGTGCAAAATTACTTTAATCAAGCAATAAAAATTTGATGGCAAACACTTATAAAGAAAATCATTCCAAAAAAATCAAAGAAAAAAAATCTAAATATAGTCTACCTGACAGCCAAGATCCCCAAGCCCCAAAATCCGCTCCCCGTCAGTGACAACAATTACTTGAATTTTCTTCTCAGGCCAATTCTTCAGTACCTCAAGAATTTTGCCCCTACATCAGAATATGAATCACTTTCAAGATAGCAATAAGAAAGCGCACAAACTAGTGAGCCGGGGAACTAATGTAAACAGTGATCAAACCTACTTTTCTTTCAAACTGATAAAAAGACCCTGAGGACGCCTGAAGATGCTCCCATATTTTTGGCACGCCTCGCCAACAGTTGGAGTGTAGACAACTGGAAGCAGCTCCTCAACATTTTCAATGAGAAGCTTGTAGAATAGCCTTTCATTATTCTCCTGTAGGCAAATATCAAAACAGGAAGTAGATTAACTTCTTCAACCACCAAACCCAAGCATCTGGATAACTAAGGAATTGAAACAATATGGGCAGAAATGGCTATTGTTGCCGGTTCCCTACACTCGATAAACTATATAGACTGAATTTGGCTGCATATCCTAAGTGCCAGAAGCCTCAGCATTCTTATAGATGTAAATGGGGATTAATCACCAAGCTCATAACAGTAAATTGTGCGAATAATGTACCTGTAGATCCATCATGGCCATGTACTTTTGCAATGGTACTTGATACTGGCGGATGTTATGCATCAATTTCTTGACCTGAGCAGTAGAATGCAATTTCAGGTCAGGTAAATAGACAGGAGAAAAAGAGGAACACAATGATTCCAAAGTATCTCTCAGATGAGCAATCCATTTTAAATAACCTGAAGCGCCTGACTGATAACAACCGGGGGTAGAAGACCACGCAAGTAGTGGGCATCCCTCTCTTTCTCATTGAAGGCAAGCCCTTTGTTGTGGTGTGGATCCCTCAACAATGAATACCCACTGCAATACAAAAAAGGAACCTATGATCAACTTTTAGACCATCCACATGAAAGACCTGATTCACCTGAAGAGTTTAGATCTACAATGATTATCCATTCAGCATCAAAATGACATTCAACAGAATTTAAAGAAAAAAACAGCCAATGAAAAATCAGTACTTGTAGGGGATTTATTTGCTATAATGCACTATTATTCTTTTTTTTCTTTTTGGTCAGACACCATTACAAGGGAGGACGACGACAAGGTTTGACCCCACGGCTTTTAAGGTTCAACGGCAGAGGTGGTGGCCATTAGGCCAACCGCTACATCATAATGCACTAGTATTCAAAGCCCTAAATATTCAACATAAATTATCCTTTTTTATTTTCAGAAAAGGGAAAAACTTGCAGAGATAGGCCTTATATTCAATCTAAGAACAGCCGCCAATCATAATTTCATATTTTGCTACAACTAAAAATGATATATCAAATTTAAAAATTTCTCCATGAAGTAAATAAGATGAACCTTAAAAATAAATCAAAGCACAGAAGTCCAAATCTAACTCATATTTTGTCGAAACATATCACACAAAAACACGTAAAAAGGCTTCGTCTTTATTAGTTGCAAACACCAGTAACATTTATCCTAGGAATTAACAAATTAATAGGATCAAAAAGTGGGAAAGACGAAAATCCTAGAAATCATCGAAACTTCCATTTGTGATTTCTCACCTACCTAGCAACAGAGACCATCCAAGGGGTGATATGGTGATCTTCGGTGGCACTATCCTCGCCGTACACGTCTTCAACCCCACCACCGACGGTGGATTTGGAATCTTTATCAAGTATTGAGGCACCATCTCTCATCTCCTTGAGAGTATTCTCCATCAAGACGCTGACATTTCGATCTCCAGGTCGGCCGTTTGAGCTCACAGACGCCACCACTGGAGCTGAGATTCTTCTTTGTGATAGAGCTAAGCTTCTGGATACCCCCGAGAGCGAGTTGTTCTGAGACAAATCAAAACATAAGTCGTCTATTTTACTATAATGATCTGAAAAAAAAAGACAAATGATTAAGCATTTTTGGAAATTCGATGTACCCAACAATGAAAAATTGATCCAGAATGTTAATTTGTTTTCGTTTTTGAGAAATGGGTGTGCACAAAAGTCAGAAATTGAACTGAAAAAAAAAGGGTTTGGTTTATACAAATCTGATCCAACAAATTTCCAAAGAAAAATCATGTTGGCTAGAAACTCTGTTTTCTCGATACGATCAGGGGAAACCAGTGGTAGAACAGTGATATGACGAGTGTGAAACAAAAAATTTCTAGTGGGTTGTGATTGAAAATTGAAATGGGTTTTGATTAATGTTACCAGAAAACTGCTTCCATTTAACGACATCATCGTGCTAGAAGTGAGAGAAAACGAAGAGTCTTCTGCTTATATCCTTGTTAAGCCACCTGAGAGGCAGAGAGAGAAGAGAGAAGGAAAAAAAAAAGAAGTCTTCTGGGGCAGCTTCTCCTTATGTATCTCCTACCCTCTCTCTGCTCTCTCTCCTAGTTGTCTTTCAGTTTGGTTTTAATCAGAACTTATAGTCAGGAAATNGGAGAGAAGGAAAAAAAAAAAGAAGTCTTCTGGGGCAGCTTCTCCTTATGTATCTCCTACCCTCTCTCTGCTCTCTCTCCTCTCTCTCCTAGTTGTCTTTCAGTTTGGTTTTAATCAGAACTTATAGTCAGGAAATTGCAGAGAACAAGCAAAAACATGTGACTTTCTCCCTGTCCAAAGTGCATGCACTGCAAATATAATAAGTATTATTACCAGTGTACCCCCTCAACCTATTTTTTTTGGGTGCATTCAATGGGGGAAGGAAGACTCACACTCAATCATCATAGATTACACCTGGTGTGGGACCCATAATTGTGGGTCCATTGTAAATATGTGGTTCTGATCTTGGGACCGTAGCTTGGATAAAGTGGTGGTGGGAGCACCGTATGAAAATTCATGAACGTATACTTTGTATGTGGGGAAAGTGTAAAACGTGGAGGGTGGTGAAGCTGACAAGGATGACTTTGAGCATCCAAGGGCAAAGATCGCCTGTGAAACTGACATCTTACAAAAGCTTCGGATTAGAGCACGTAAGTGGGATCCACCACCGCTTCACGCTAAAAACAGTCTACCAATTATTTGTTTCATATTTTGTTATGCATCGTTTGGCACAAGAAATGAGAAATTAAAAAAACGTAAAATTGTAAATTTATAACGTTTTTTTAATTTTAAATTATAAATTCATTGTTAATTAGTGTTGGAGTCACTTATATTGAATAGACCCCACTTGAATTTATAGTACATATTTCATTTAAAAGGGAAATAGAAAGAAATTTATTTGACCTTTATTTCTTACAATATAATTTTTCTTTATTGTTTGATATGAAAAAAAAATTACATATGTGATTTAGAATTTTATTATAAAAAAATAATTAAATAATGTCATCAAGTGTCTTACCACGTATAAGTTATAAAACAATATTTTAAAATTGTGTCCCTTATGCAAATGGTACTTAACATGATAATTATAAAAAATATGCAATTAATAAGGGTATAAATATAAATTAACTCAATTACCTTTTGTAACCAACAATTCTCTACCATTTTTTGCCCATATTTGGGTAGATAAAAAATGGTGGGCTCAAAGGAAACCATTTCCAACCCTTTTTTCCTTTCATTTCACTTTTCCTTTCTCATTAAACAATAGAAAATACTTTCTTCCGTCCCATTTTCCATCCACATGTTTTTCTCTCTTACCAAATAGAACATTAATTTTTAATGAAGTTGGATTTTATAAATAAATCAATTTATATTTAATTGATACAAATTTAATTATTTTTTGATCAAAACCTAGAACAATGAGAGGGACAACGAGGGTTGAACCCGAAATTTTAAGGTCTAACGGTGGAAGTGATAACCATTAAGAGATCCTTTATCAGTCCACTAACATTAATCTTTTACCTGAAGACAATTTACAATATAAAAAAAAATTGAGTATTGGTAATGTAATATTTTATATTTTAAAATAATAAATTATTTTTATTAAAATTAAAATTAATAAAAAAAAATAAGAAATAGGTAGGAAAGAAAAAAGAGAGAGGTAGGTGTTAATTAATAGAATTATCCGACATTAGGAACCGTACATAAAAAAAATGATATTTTTGAACTTTTTTTTTTTTTGAAATGAATTATGTAACATTAAATGAAATTAGACTAATCTCAATCATTAAGGTTAATGGTTGGCCTAAATGGCCACCACCCTCTTGTTGAATAATGAATATTAAGGTCACAGATTTAAATTTCGTCGTATTTCTCTCTAGTGATATTGTCCAATAAAAAAAATTAAATTATTATTTTGTAGTATTAGATAAAAGATAATAAAATGTCGACGAAGGGAAGTTTAGGTGTGGGACTCCCACAATAAAATAAGTAAAAATAGTCAGATTTAGCTGATGATTGGAATTTCTTAGAGATTTGCATCCCAAAGTTGTCTTTATGGTACACGTCTTATGACCTCCTGCAACAACAAGGTACATGGTCCACACAAATTCCTCTTATTTTATTTTTTTCAATAATAATACATCCATCGTCCACCATTGTATGTATATAAATCTCTCTTAATCTCGTAATAACGAGAGTTTCATACACTTAACTATAATCTCGTAATATCAAAAATTTCATACACTAAATACACTTATTTACTTTGAAGGGAAAGCACATTGTCAAAAAAAAAAAAAAATTGACTGACCTTCGTTGTAGTAGATTGAAGTCATGGGCAACTGCTAGATACTTTTCTATGTATTTTTTTCCAAACTGAAAATCATGGGCGAAATCGTCTGCTAGTGGGTTTTGAACAATGCAATACAGACAATGGCGTGAGGAAACTACGATGGAGAGCATTGGATATGAAAATAACGTTATGAATTAATGGAAAGCAGGGGGAGCTGGAGAGGACTGCTATGTAGGGTCCTGTGTAATAATGAGTTATTAGACTAGTGGCTGCGGTTCAAACACCACATAACAAAACAAGCACCCAACTTTAATTAAGGAACAGGATCATGAAAACCATACTCGGAACCCACGGTTCTCAATGTTTTGGTGACCACTGTTTGATTAGTGGGCATGCCATAGCTATATTAAAGTTTTTATTTCCAATCCAATGTATTACTTTTGGTAATAAAATGAACCGTAAATTTAGATATCTTGAATTCGAAACTTAATAATATTTTGGGGTTTAAATATTTTAGTTCGAACATGAATGACATCTTTTTAATTAGGCCGAGAGTAAGATCAATCAAGGTACATATAAACTGACTTGAATACCAATAACTATTAAGTTATATATATATATATTTCCTCTTATTCTTCAGTGACGTGACCACCCCCACCACGACTTGATCATTAATGTATTGGTTCGTCAATAATTCGGCGCAAATTAATAAAATTGACTATATTTATTATCCAAACGATTTTTATGTTACAACACGTATATATATTGTACAAATTAAATTTATTATGACACAATACATTGGGGCCATGGGTCGGTTGGTAAGAAGTAAGTTTTTTTTTTTTAAAATAATATATATTTTTTTTGGGGAGAATAGAGGGGAAGGGAACTTAAACGTTTGACTTCAAGAAGACAAAACCTTCACAAAATAAAGAGTATCATTGGACCAAAGACCATCGCTAGTTGGGAAGAAGTAAGTGCCCATAAAATTACAATTAAAACGAAAATGGGATGTGCCGAGAAGAAAATAAGCAAAAGTATTAAACTAGTTGCTGGGCGTAGGTGGCATGACCATGTAGCTAATTACAAGGGAGGGTTGTTGAAAGTAGGTGAAGGTCACGCTGTTTAAGCAACAAAAATTAAATAAGAGCAATATTATTGGGATCTAATTTATTAATTTAATTTATTGATCAAATTTACTATAATTTTTGAATTGATTATGAACTTCATTTAACATTGAAATTTGTTGTTTATCCAATAGCTCTAATAAAAATAACATCATTAGGTCAAATTTTTAAGTCTATATAATATTACTCATTAAATAATGCGTTAACCCTTTTTTTTGATCCAACGATAAGGGGTGTCCAGACCAGTTTATATAAATCTCGACTAATCTTTTTTTTGATTCGATTAAAATAGGTCATCAATGCGCAGGATAAAAGTATTCATAAGAGATAAATCTTTCATTATCTGATTCTAAAGAGTTGTCAACATTTGAACTCATGATGTTTGAGTTTACAGATTGTCCCGGTAATCACTTGGTGCTATGTAAAAGATAAATTTTTTATTTTTTTGATATTTCGATAAGGGATATCCAGACTAATTTAGTCTGTAATTATTGAAAGAGAAATGTTATTGGAATATAATTTATGAACATAATTTGAGAATATAATGAGTTGTCACCAATGAAATAATAGTGAATTCATTTAATGCTACAGTGGACCCATCATTAAGAGTGTATTTGAGATGACTTATAAAATCCAAAAAGTACTTTTTTAATAAATATTTATCAAAAGTGTTTATAAGAAAAACATTTTTATTAAATAAGTATTATTTAGATACTAAAAATTTAAAATACTTAAATTAATATATTTTATAAAAAGCACGTTTGGATGTGAAAACACTTATTTGTGTCCCAATTGTTAATAGTATTGAATGCACATATACAAACGTATACTACACATAAAATAATACACAAAAATATCATATTAATAAATGCATCATACAAAAAAACTACACAATTAGAAGTAATAGGGGGAGAGAGAGAGAGCACAAAAATATCAAATGAGTAATGAATCAAAATTTTAATATTTTAAAGTATTCCATAATGTTTTAAAATATTGTTATATTTCAAAACAATTACACAATTATTCTCTGATCGTCATCAAAATGGCTGGTGGTAGAGGGCATATGTCGCAAGGGCACACCAAAACTCAGACCAATTCAAACAACAAAAATCTTAGTCTGATTGTCAGGCCAACAAAACATCCACAACAAAGTTGGAGGAAAAATCTGTAGCAGCCTTTCTCCCACAAGGGAAAGCCCCTGAACCTCCCATATCACAGCACAGCCACCCCCTAGGAAGCAAGTAAGAAAGCTACTAGTTTAGTTACTCATTGTTGCTGGGACGTCGATATGGCATAAATCTGTGGTCCTTTGCAGCATTCTTCCTTCTCTTTTTCTCGATAAAGGATTCGAGCTTTTTAGATGTCTGATAAATCACATAAAAGTCATCACTGAGTACAGAAACTACATACTATTGTATTTGAACAAATCAAATCATACATACGTTGAGTTCGGTATATTTCTCAATAAGCTTTTGCTTCCGGAATTCAGCTGCAAAAAAAAAAAAACCATTTAGTCCATGAACAATTTATAGTCTCACTTGTATATGAAACATCATTACAACACTTTTAAGTGTTTCATGACCAACCCATTAAATAGTATTTGGAAACCCAACAAGTCAAGATAGTTCGAACACAAAAAAGGTGAATACAAAAAAAATGCCTCTCAAGGAAAGCAAAATAAAGTACTGCTACCATAAATAGTCATTTTTCTATTACCATAATGTGTCTATTACCATAATGATTATCATTTGCAGTCCTATATCTATCCCTATCCCTTATTTCCCAATAATATATCCCTTTCGGGCAGTAGTTTACTTCTGAAGTAAATGGGTCAGTTCAGGCCTCTCTAATTGCTGGCTATTTGATTGCTAGATAACTTTTGTAAGTTGTGACCTTTAAATTGATAACTGCACTGCAAACCTCGACTACACATAATAACCAACAAACAAATTGGGCGCATTGTGCCTCAAGACTCAAAACGTGCAAATGCTAAACCGACCCGAATGATTAAAACATACAAGACTTCAAAATTAGTCGACTTGTTTTATTTGCTGATCTTTTTGGGCAAGAATTGGATTATAAGATATAAGAACAATGTTTCTGAATTGTGAGAAACTGCATTGGAATCCATGATTAATGGTGTTGAAGACTTCCTGTGTTCACTGTCTGTGACGAAAAGAAGCAATGAAACATTTGAGCAAAACCAAAGTGTGCAAGACCAAAAGGGCAGGAAATTTAGATTGTTTGTAACTCAATTATATATGAATTTGATTGATGCCCACGATAGCTTTGCAAGACATGTAAATAGCTGTAAGAATAAGCTGTTACTCAGTTGTTTTAAATTAAAGACATGTAGTTGGGTTCAAATTTTTAACTTTCTTTCAATAGAATGAACCAATTAACTACAGAGATCATAGGCAACAAGATAGATTGTTTCTTGGAAGCTAACCTGAGGAGTGAAGGAGTGGACTGGGTGAGATGCTTGAGAATTCAGGTGAATATTAACGAACTGATTCCACCTACGCATGCAAATAGCAAGAGCTTCATTTCCATAGTCATTTTATCAAACGGATGGTGGACATTCTATCAAACTGTCCAAAATAAAACCCATATAACTATTCAAACCGCAACAGTTATCTTCACTCACGAATATTTAAAAAATAATTATAAGACACATGTTTCCTCTGTATTGCTTCCAACATTAGTACAGTCGAAAAATATAAAAATAACCGAATATTTTACCAGAAGAATTGCTATTTTCTCAAATAAATAAACAAATCATTTATCCCACATTTTCTCAGCAAGCAAACACAGCCTCCAACATTAACACATCAGTCATTGAAACAAAGCACACAGTTCACCCCTGAATTAAAATCAAACCCCGAATAACATATTCANGCAAGCAAACACAGCCTCCAACATTAACACATCAGTCATTGAAACAAAGCACACAGTTCACCCCTGAATTAAANACTCAATCATCATAGATTACACCTGGTGTGGGACCCATAATTGTGGGTCCATTGTAAATATGTGGTTCTGATCTTGGGACCGTAGCTTGGATAAAGTGGTGGTGGGAGCACCGTATGAAAATTCATGAACGTATATTTTGTATGTGGGGAGAGTGTAAAACGTGGAGGGTGGTGAAGCTGACAAGGATGACCTTGAGCATCCAAGGGCAAAGATCGCCTGTGAAACTGACATCTTACAAAAGCTTCGGATTAGAGCACGTAAATGGGATCCACCACCGCTTCACGCTAAACAGTCTACCAATTATTTGTTTCATATTTTGTTATGCATCGTTTGGCACAAGAAATGAAAAATTAAAAAAACGTGAAATTGTAAATTTATAACGTTTTTTTAATTTTAAATTATAAATTCCTNTAACGTTTTTTTAATTTTAAATTATAAATTCCTTGTTAATTAGTGTTGGAGTCACTTATATTGAATAGACCCCACTTGAATTTATAGTACATATTTCATTTAAAAGGGAAATAGAAAGAAATTTATTTGACCTTTATTTCTTACAAAAGAATTTTTCTTTATTGTTTGATATGAAAAAAAATTACATATGTGATTTAGAATTTTATTATAAAAAAATAATTAAATAATGTCATCAAGTGTCTTACCACGTATAAGTTATAAAATAATATTTTAAAATTGTGTCCCTTATACAAATGGTACTTAACATGATAATTATAAAAAATATGCAATTAATAAGGGTATAAATATAAATTAACTCAATTACCTTTTGTAACCAACAATTCTCTACCATTTTTTGCCCATATTTGGGTAGATCAAAATTGGTGGGTTCAAAGGAAACCATTTTCCAACCCTTTTTTCCTTTCATTTCACTTTACCTTTCTCACTAAACAATAGAAAATACTTTCTTCCGTCTCATTTTCCATCCACATGTTTTTCTCTCTTACCAAACAGGACATTAATTTTTAATGAAGTTGGATTTTATAAATAAATCAATTTATATTTAATTGATACAAACTTAATTATTTTTTGATCAAACCCGAGAACAATGAGAGGGACAACGAGGGTTGAACCCGAAATTTTAAGGTCTAACGGTGGAAGTGATAACCATTAAGAGATCCTTTATCAGTCCACTAACATTAATCTTTTACCTGAAGACAATTTACAATATAAAAAAAATTGAGTATTGAGTATTGATAATGTAATATTTTATATTTTAAAATAATAAATTATTTTTATTAAAATTAAAATTAATAAAAAAAATAAGAAATAGGTAGGAAAGAAAAAAGAGAGAGGTAGGTGTTAATTAATAGAATTATTTGACATTAGGAACCGTACATAAAAAAAATGATATTTTTGAACTTTTTTTTTTTTTTGAAATGAATTATGTAACATTAAATGAAATTAGACTAATCTCAATCATTAAGGTTAATGGTTGACCTAAATGGCCACCACCCTCTTGTTGAATAATGAATATTAAGGTCACAGATTTAAATTTCGTCGTATTTCTCCCTAGTAATATTGTCCAATAAAAAAAATTAAATTATTATTTTATAGTATTAGATAAAAGATAATAAAATGTCGACGAAGGGAAGTTTAGGTGTGGGACTCCCACAATAAAATAAGTAAAAATAGTCAGATTTAGCTGATGATTGGAATTTCTTAGAGATTTGCATCCCAAAGTTGTCTTTATGGTACACGTCTTATGACCTGCTGCAACAACAAGGTACATGGCCCACACAAATTCCTCTTATTTTATTTTTTTCAATAATAATACATCCATCGTCCACCACTGTATGTGTATGTATATAAGTCTCTCTTACTCTCGTAATAACGAGAGTTTCATACACTTAACTATAATCTCGTAATATCAAAAATTTCATACACTAAATACACTTANTCTCTCTTAATCTCGTAATAACGAGAGTTTCATACACTTAACTATAATCTCGTAATATCAAAAATTTCATACACTAAATACACTTATTTACTTTGAAGGGAAAGCACATTGTCCAAAAAAAAAAAAATTGACTGACCTTCGTTGGAGTAGATTGAAGTCATCGGCAACTGCTAGATACTTTTCTACGTATTTTTTTCCAAACTGAAAATCATGGGCGAAATCGTCTGCTAGTGGGTTTTGAACAATGCAATACAGACAATGGGGCGTGAGGAAACTACGATGGAGAGCATTGGATATGAAAATAACGTTATGAATTAATGGAAAGCAGGGGGAGCTGGAGAGGACTGCTATGTAGGGTCCTGTGTAATAATGAGTTATTAGACTAGTGGCTGCGGTTCAAACACCACATAACAAAACAAGCACCCAACTTTAATTAAGGAACAGGATCATGAAAACCATACTCGGAACCCACGGTTCTCAATGTTTTGGTGACCACTGTTTGATTAGTGGGCATGCCATAGCTACATTAAAGTTTTTATTTCCAATCCAATGTATTACTTTTGGTAATAAGAATGAACTGTAAATTTAGATGTCTTGAATTCGAAACTTAATAATATTTTGGGGTTTAAATTTTTTAGTTCGAACATGAATGACATCTTTTTAATCAGGCCGAGAGTAAGATCAATCAAGGTACATATAAACTGACTTGAATACCAATAACTATTAAGTTATATATATATATATATATATATATTTCCTCTCATTCTTCAGTGACGTGACCACCCCCACCACGACTTGATCATTAATGTATTGGTTCGTCAATAATTCGGCGCAAATTAATACAATTGACTATATTTATTATCCAAACGATTTTTATGTTACAACACGTATATATATTGTACAGATTAAATTTATTATGACACAATACATTGGGGCCATGGGTCTGTTGGTAAGAAGTAAGTTTTTTTTTTTTTTTAAATAATATATTTTTTTTTGGGGAGGATAGAGGGGAAGGAAACTTAAACGTTTGACCTCAAGAAGACAAAACTTTCACAAAATAAAGAGTATCATTGGACCAAAGACCATCGCTAGTTGGGAAGAAGTAAGGGCCCATAGAATTACAATTAAAACGAAAATGGGATGTGCCGAGAAGAAAATAAGCAAAAGTATTAAACTAGTTGCTGGGCGTAGGTGGCATGACCATGTAGCTAATTACAAGGGAGGGTTGTTGAAAGTAGGTGAAGGTCACGCTGTTTAAGCAACAAAAATTAAATAAGAGCAGTATTATTGGGATCTAATTTATTAATTTAATTTATTGATCAAATTTATTATAATTTTTGAATTGATTATGAACTCCATTAAACATTGAAATTTGTTGTTTATCCAATAGCTCTAATAAAAATAACATCATTAGGTCAAATTTTTAAGTCTATATAATATTACTCATTAAATAATGCGTTAACCCTTTTTTTTGATCCAACGATAAGGGGTGTCCAGACCAGTTTATACATATCTCGACTAATCTTTTTCTGATTCGATTAAAATAGGTCATCAACGCGCAGGATAAAAGTATTCATAAGGGATAAATCCTTCATGATCTGGCTCTACANAGACCAGTTTATATAAATCTCGACTAATCTTTTTTTTGATTCGATTAAAATAGGTCATCAATGCGCAGGATAAAAGTATTCATAAGAGATAAATCTTTCATTATCTGATTCTAAAGAGTTGTCAACATTTGAACTCATGATGTTTGAGTTTACAGATTGTCCCGGTAATCACTTGGTGCTATGTAAAAGATAAATTTTTTATTTTTTTGATATTTCGATAAGGGATATCCAGACTAATTTAGTCTGTAATTATTGAAAGAGAAATGTTATTGGAATATAATTTATGGACATAATTTGAGAATATAATAAGTTGTCACCAATGAAATAATAGTGAATTCATTTAATGCTACAGTGGACCCATCATTAAGAGTGTATTTGAGATGACTTATAAAATCCAAAAAGTACTTTTTTAATAAATATTTATCAAAAGTGTTTATAAGAAAAACATTTTTATTAAATAAGTATTATTTAGATACTAAAAATTTAAAATACTTAAATTAATGTATTTTATAAAAAGCACGTTTGGATGTGAAAACACTTATTTGTGTCCCAATTGTTAATAGCATTGAATGTACATATACAAACGTATACTATANGTTTATAAGAAAAACATTTTTATTAAATAAGTATTATTTAGATACTAAAAATTTAAAATACTTAAATTAATATATTTTATAAAAAGCACGTTTGGATGTGAAAACACTTATTTGTGTCCCAATTGTTAATAGTATTGAATGCACATATACAAACGTATACTATACATAAAATAATACACAAAAATATCATATTAATAAATGCATCATACAAAAAAACTACACAATTAGAAGTAATAGGGGGAGAGAGAGAGCACAAAAATATCAAATGAGTAATGAATCAAAATTTTAATATTTCAAAGTATTCCATAATGTTTTAAAATATTGTTATATTTCAATACATTNTAAATGCATCATACAAAAAAACTACACAATTAGAAGTAATAGGGGGAGAGAGAGAGAGCACAAAAATATCAAATGAGTAATGAATCAAAATTTTAATATTTTAAAGTATTCCATAATGTTTTAAAATATTGTTATATTTCAAAACAATTACACAATTATTCTCTGATCGTCATCAAAATGGCTGGTGGTAGAGGGCATATGTCGCAAGGGCACACCAAAACTCAGACCAATTCAAACAACAAAAATCTTAGTCTGATTGTCAGGCCAACAAAACATCCACAACAAAGTTGGAGGAAAAATCTGTAGCAGCCTTTCTCCCACAAGGGAAAGCCCCTGAACCTCCCATATCACAGCACAGCCACCCCCTAGGAAGCAAGTAAGAAAGCTACTAGTTTAGTTACTCATTGTTGCTGGGACGTCGATATGGCATAAATCTGTGGTCCTTTGCAGCATTCTTCCTTCTCTTTTTCTCGATAAAGGATTCGAGCTTTTTAGATGTCTGATAAATCACATAAAAGTCATCACTGAGTACAGAAACTACATACTATTGTATTTGAACAAATCAAATCATACATACGTTGAGTTCGGTATATTTCTCAATAAGCTTTTGCTTCCGGAATTCAGCTGCAAAAAAAAAAAAACCATTTAGTCCATGAACAATTTATAGTCTCACTTGTATATGAAACATCATTACAACACTTTTAAGTGTTTCATGACCAACCCATTAAATAGTATTTGGAAACCCAACAAGTCAAGATAGTTCGAACACAAAAA